CAGACTCAAGCAGCCCATGTGGCTCAGTTATGTGATTATCCAAGGCAAGCCTACACAGCTCCTCTGCCCCTCTCCAGTGCAAAATTTAAAGACTTATCAAAGTTGAAAGATTTTGTGAGTGAGCGAAATAAACCGTTCTTCGAGCAACTGCCTCAAGATGACCTCAGCAGCCAGGAATCAGACCAAGAGCAAAGATCAGACTCTGACTCAGAATCATCAGAATCTTAACAGACTGACAGAAGTTCTGTGTTTGCTTGCATAAGAAAAAGTCTTAATAAATAGTGTGTGCTTTGAATGTCTTTACTATTTGAATTATTTAAGTGTGCAGGATTGCCAGGGAAAAACAACTGATGTCCAAAATGGATGTCTTGGTTATAAATGCATATTGTGAAGATGTATGTTGGCTCAGTAACTAAATCATTACATCTATATATCAGGGATTGAATCCATTTTCATTAAAAAATTCTTTCAAATAGAAATCTTTAAAATCAAATGCTCCTGAAGTCTTCAAACACAAAATTTCATTTATCTCAAAAATAGAAAAAGTGGACAACTGTGGGTTTTCCCCTGTAGTCTTCAAATTATTTTGTCGTGGCAGAAGTTCGTGACCCAATTTGAAACACAAATAAAGAACGCCTTCTATTTTTTTTTTTTTTAATTTTTCAAACCACCACAGCCTACAGATAAATTAATATTGTTTCCCATTGGTACGAGGTCAGAGTGCATCAACACAGTTAAATAGTACAATTACCCACACAAAAAACGACTCAACTTTAAAAATGGATGTTATGGGGCGGCAGAGTTTTGTGTTATATATTTAAGGGAGGTTGAGATAGGGGGACACCTGAGGCTCATGAAACATGGGTGGACGAAGAATATCCACATGGGGAAAAAGGAGTCATGTTTTTGTAATGTAGAATCTCAAAGTCATGAATAATTATTAATTTTTTTTTGTAATTGGAACATGGAAGAGTCAGACCAATCATGATGGAAGAGTCAGACCAATCGGGATCAAAGCGTAGGACCAATCGTGATGGAAGAGTCAGAACAATCGTGATTACGGCAGCCTTATGATGTGTAGAGCTGTGTTGCTGACAAAGTATATTTTCATGCTCACGATTGAGTTTGGATCATGCATCCACATCTCGCACTTGTTGCATGGGATTGTGAAGGCTTTGATGAAAAAAGTTGAAAAAAAATATTTCAAGACTATTATAATTTTTTTTTAAATATTAGTGTCGATTTTACCGCACACATTCATACACATACAAATGTGATTATGAATCCATGAACTGGTTGGAATTTGTCTCCTTTTCTTTTCTTTTTTTTTTTCTTTTTTTTTTATACCAGTGGAAAATGTCCCATAGGGGCTACTTTACTCTGCGTGCTTATGGTTTCTCTCCCGGGATCTTGCACAATGTTTAGTGAACAAAAGACTTTCCAGCAAATATTCCTCTCCCGGGAAATCCAGGATGCACAATTTTTACTATAAAATTTTCTTGCTTTTTTAGTTTATTTTTTATTTCACCAAGTGACACATTGTCACACATTGTCGTTATAAGCCAGGCCCCGTACTTAACTATGCTGAATTACAAAGCTCAGCAGCTCTAGTAGCAGATTCTCAAACGTTTTTACGTCACGGCCACATTCATAAAGAATTAGAAGCAAAGTGAGCCTTTTCACCATATATTGGAAACAAATATTTTAAAAACTGTCAAAGGAGAGTTAATAAATCGCAGAAAAAAATCGGTCACCAATAACGTAATAGTTCTTAAGATGCATCGATTAATCAAAGAAAGCAACTTATCCGGACTACAATTTTTTTTACCACAAATGAACAATTAAGTACTTGATTCTTAAATCATTTTTAGGAAAGATCAGAATCATAATTACACCTTTTTTAATCAAATTAAAGAGGTAAGTTACACATCGCACAAACCCAAATTTGAGCACAAAACTTTGATATTAAGGATCAACGCTTTTTTTACTAATGTTTTAGGTCTACTAGTGCCTAGTAGTAGATCATCGTGTTGTAGGTGAACGTGATGTCATTTACCTTGATTTAAATAAATCATTTATGTTGACTTCGCTTTGCTAGCTGGCAATATTTTCGGGCGGCTTACTGATCCACTTCCCGTCAACCTATCCAGCTGAAACTTGGCACATAGACTCGTTGCCGCTAATAACAAATTCTTTCAAATTTTCAGCCCCACCCCCAACTCCAATCCCCAAAAATCGCTGTTTCTTGTTTTCAAGGGAAAAGATAAATAAAATTCCCGATAACTGCGTTAAATGAGATTCTTTTTTTTTTTAAATATCTGGCAAGCGCGTTTGGTGGGTAATATTTTCTTTTGTTTTTCCTGACATAGATGATGAAATAAATCTTAAATAGATCTAGTTCATGGGCCGTGAAAAAAATGTGCGAATGTGAGCCTTGGGGAGGCGGAGCACTAATTGGGATTCTTATAAATGTGTTCCTTGTGTGTATGCAATTTTGGTCAAATTTTCACCCCACTCCTCATTGCTTGATATTACATTTTATAATGGATGTATATGAAAAACTTTGTATTTATGCAGAATAAATTTAATTAGGCTTTGTTTAATGTATTATTCGGATCTTTTATATTTATTGCATTAATTTTGACAAGAACAACCACTGTCCACTCATTCCATTACCACTCACTGCTCGCAATAAGTGATTAATTGTGTATTAATTTTAGTCCACAGTCACGTTTACCATAGTTTATGACAAGGTAGCAAATATTTTAAAAATGCTATTTTAATAAAATTGAAAAAAACACTTTAAAAAAAAATATTTTCACTAAGCAGAAAAATATAATCTTTTTGGAACTATCTAACTTTATTTAAATAATGATAATTTCTTATCAGCTTTTTTTCTGATTTATATATGAACCTTTAATTTTTAATAACTTACTTTCTTACCGAAACATAATTTAAACGTCGCAATTATTTTTAATTTGCATTTACTTGGGTTGGAATAGAAAAAGTAGAAGAGAAATGGTTCGCTTGTTTGAAATCAACTAACCGATCACCGATCACGTAACATTATAATTTAATAACAAATATGATTTTCCAGATTTGTGAGTGCATAATGCTCAGGTGGTCAATTATTTAAAAGATAAATCTAAAGACACTTGTAGTGAGCTGCGGCAGTGCAGTGAATGAGCACCGAGTGAACACTGTGACCGAGCGTTTCTCAAGCCCAAGACTTTAAACTTAATCTAATGTTAAGTCAATCTAACGGACGTAATGTCACATATATTATATTTATTAAAATTATATGATATAATTATAATATAAGTCTGAGTAGTTTGGCGACCGGTTTTTATGTTTAACTTCAAATATGGCAAAATATATGTGTTAATCTGTGTGTAATCAGCCAGTTCATTCGTTAGGACTTCATTCATCTCATTGCAGCAGCTGCCGATCTTTGTTAATATAAGATCACAAGATATATGATATGGGCATAGGAAAAACTAAAAAAGGATACAACTTTTTCCAGTCTCTTGAATCATGTTGTGTGGACAATCAACTTAAGGTGCACATGCCGGTCCACAGAAATCTTTTTTGGGAAGCACTATAGTTAGGCCTACCCGACTAACATCCCAAGTATTTCCTAAAAGTTGTTTTAAGAAAATAACAGATAACAATAACACTGAAGTGTGTGTTGAGAAATAAACTGGGTACGGGAGCAGAAAATGAGAGCCCCGAAGAATCCTGTACTCAAGCAAACATGGGAGTGGGGTCTTAGTGAGCCCTTTGTCAGAAACTTTTTGATAAGTTCAATATGCACAGGTATTTTTTGGCCTTTACTGAATTTCTTTTTGCATCAAAATCAAACTACCACCTTCACTTTTAATCAGAGAGAATCAGAAGTGATGCTAAGGGAAATGTATATGTCTCTTAATCTGACTGTGTTACCAGTAATAAAATGCTTTAGTTTTTGTTGTTGCAAAAAAGGACTGTGGGCATGTGTAGTTAAAATAATAATGTGTACGGTAATTTAAGTTTGTCTGTCTAAACCAAATCATGACTCCATTTGAAATTTAAGTTCTTTAATTTCTAATTTTCTTTTAGTTAAAGTTGTTTTAAAATTCTAATTCTGCTTGTTAATTTGTGAATAAATTATATTAAAATAATAAAGGCCAGACATTTAAAAATATTATCAAATACTTTTCAGAAATTTTAAGAGATGGTATCGATGTTGCTACTATACCGAAAGCTTCGGAATCTAACCTTGAAGAAATTGGTGATAGTCCTCATCCTCACAGTGGCCTCATTCAATGAGTTTATTGTTTACACATTTCAATCTTATAGATGGCCAAGTGTTTCAAAATACAGGTTTCTGGATTATCTTTAAATTTTCATGTTATTACCGTCTTACTATGGCCACCAAAAATATTTTTGGTATGTCAGTGTATTTCATTTTTATAATTAAAAAAATATAAATTAGAATAATTATAAAAACCATGCAAGTTGCCTGACATTCTTTTCCATTCTGTTTTATTGAATTTCACTTAAAAACTATTTAATGTTTCTAGTTATTCCCAAGATATTTGTGTTATTATTTTGATGTTACTGATTAATGTAAAATTGATTTTTGAAAATATTAGACTGGAAAAAACAGCAGCTGTTATGCAAAGTGCTTACTCGCCATTTTTATTGTCCGAAATAGTCATGAAACTAATTATTATTTTTTGCGTTCTGATGGATATTTAATACAAGTGATCAGTATAGTCAGCACAAATAATAGGTTAGCAAAAGTCATAACACTGAGCTCAATTGGTAATTGTAAAACTCATTATCGTAAATACTTGAAATAAACACAGGCACATAAAATGTTTTGAAATGCATAAAAAATATTCTGTCTTGCAATTATTTTTACAGAGATTCTCAAGAAGAGATGTTAATTTTACTCATATCTGATCCCCAATTGATTGGGATTCAAGATGAATTTGGCTTTCCTATAGGTCTACTGGCCAGGTGGGATTCAGACAAGTAAGGAATGGCATAACTCATAACTACTATGGTATAATTTTGATGTGGAGAATATGCTTGATGATTAATGTAATGATTATGGAAGTTATACATTATGCAGAAATGCAAATATTGCTTTTGAATTAGTTATTGTTTGTTTTTTTTATTAAAAAGCCATAATCAGATTAATGATATTAATCATTTTTTGCTGTAAAAATTAGACTGCACTAATCTCCCAAGAAATTTAAATTTTATAAATGAAAAAAAAATAATAATGTCGAACTACAAGTCATTTTTTTAAAAACTAGATGACCTTTTAATATTATTCTCTGATGAGTGCCTTTTAAAAGGGTTATAAATAAGCCTACAGTAACTTGCATTGTACCAATATACATCTATTGAATTTGTTCTTCTGCTGACCATTTTGCCAATAAACACATTAATAACACCCTTAATATATATATCTTAAATTTTTTTGTACATACAAAACATAAAAATTTGTAGATATATGCTGGGAAATGTGCTTCCAATCTGAAAAGGGGGGGGGGGGGGTTCCAATCTGAAAGGGGGGGGGGGGCCTAAAATCTCACGGTCCTTGATCTACGTGTAAACAATTGTCCTGTGTGCCACCTTGATAAATCAGGTCTTTATTTTTTATTTGATCTGAAGCTGTTTTATTTATTTTCCCTTTATTTTCTTTTATTGATGACATACTTATAAATCCAGCTGAAAGAAAAAGACTCTTTCATTATAAAGTTAGGCTGATGTAGAAAATTTACTTTTCAGCTATTTGCGAAAGACATTTTCTCGTATCTACCACCACACATTACCAGATGTGATTGTTTTCCTTGGTGACATAATGGATGAGGGAAGTAAAGCCACTGATTATGAATATGAATCTTATGTTCAAAGGTTTGACAGCATATTCTATGAAAAGAAGTATGCAAAGGTTGGTGCTGCAAGTTTTCATCCTTAAAATTGCACCAATTATTACATATTGATTAACAAAGTAAAAATTGTAAGCAATTAGTCTACAAAATTTGACCATTTTAAAAAAGAAGTTCATTGAAATTTTTAATACTTAATATTGCTAGAAAGTGTAATATTTTTTCACTTGCTTTTTAGACTGCAAAACTCATTAGATGCATTTAGTGTTATTCAATTTCAATAATCAATATAAAATTTTAAAATTCTTCTACCCAAAACTCACTATTTGAAAATGCTTATTACCTTGCTATTTTCAGACTATTGTCATCCCAGGAGATAATGATATTGGAGGGGAAGGGGGTGATTTCCGCACGGCATTTAAAATAGGCAGATTTGAGCGGTACTTTGAAAATCTCACTGGTGTTGTTTCACAAGGTTTTATTGACTTCTTAAAGGTAATTATGGGTGAATCTTAATTTAAACCCTTATTTATGGTTAATAGTTAATATAAATTGCCTCTCATTTTTTTTCCTTACTTATTTTTACACTGTCAAATCTTAAAGTATGATGCTAAAAAATTTTAATATCTTGATCTTTCAGTGAATGGAGCTGATTTTTTTTTGTTCAATTTCATTTTGAATTTTTAAAAAGTTAATCAATTTTAGAGTTTTAAACTTTATATTTTTTTTTAAATAATTTTTTAGCTGTTTTACTATAGACCTGAAGTGTACTATTTTTTACTTTTATTAGCTGGACAACCAAAGAGCCAAGGACTTGGTGTTGGAGACAAAAAAACTTTTATCAGACGTGGCCTCTCAACTCAAATCACCATACAGAATTATTATCAACCATGAAAGTATGATAACAAAGCCAAAGGGTTCTGTGTATCCTGTAAGTTTAAATAGAGATCAGTATTATTTTTAATTTAAAATTTTTTTTATTTTTTTTCAAATGAAATTTTTATAATCTTTTATTATTTTTTCAAAATAATAGATGAGACAGCTTTAATTGCTTGTGAGTTTTCTCAGGATTTCTGTGATAAGATAACATGGAAATGCAGATCCAAAGAAAATATAAACTTTTATGTTATAAATGATTGTTTTAAAACTATCTTCGACATTAATTTCTATGAAATACAACTGATGTTCCTAAATTACATAATAAATTAGTTTCATAAAATATTTTGGTCTCTAGGTTTGATGAACGCACTGTCTTGTATGCTTTTTATTTTTAACCTAACATTAGAGAGAGTTATGAGAAACATACACATTGACACTCGAGGAACGATAACAGGATACTTTTTTAGGGAAACTTAAGACCCACAACCAATGGGCACACTCTACAACCAACCACTTCAGTATCTTGCATATGCTGATGACATAGCACTGCTAGGGAAAAGTATTAAAGACATATCAAAATCCTTTATTAAATTAGAAGACGCATCACTACAAGCAGGGCTGGAAGTTAACAACCAAAAAACAAAATACATGACCATGATAACAGAAAAACAAACAGATGAAGCAATTAAAATTAGAAACCAGACTTTTGAAAAAGTAAATCAATTCAAATACCTAGGATCTTTATTAAATGAAAGAAACAAATTACTAACAGAAATAAAAGAAAGAATATCACCCGGAAACAGGGCATACTTCAGTAGTCAGAAAATACCGGTACTCAAAAGTAAAAACATTACAAGAGAAACAAAGAAAACTATTTATAAAACTGTAATCAGACCAATTGTAACATATGCAAGTGAAACTTGGACCCTAACACAAACGGCAGAAAACCTATTAATCACAAGGGAGAGGAAAGTTCTCAGAAAAATATATGGACCAACAAAGGATGAATATGGATGAAGGATACGAACCAACCATGAATTGTACAGTCTATATCAGGATCCCACGATAGTAGCAGAAATGAAAAAGGGCAGGCTACGCTGGGCAGGACACTTAGAGGGTGCATCACCAATACCCCAGAAGAAAAAGGCTCAAAGGCAGACCTAGGCTTAGATGGATGGATGATGTGGAAAAAAGATCTACAACTGAAAATCCAAGCATGGAAAAGAAAAGCATTAGTTAGATCTGAGTGGAAGGAAGTAGTGAGGCAGGCCAAAGCCCTACATGGGCTGTAGCCCTACAGGGATGGATGGATTTGATGAACTCAAAGAATGTGCTCATTTTGGCAAAAGTCAGAGTTTTAGTTTTAACAAATTTTTTAGGTTCTGGATTTAATCATAAGACAATGCCTGCATTATATTCCATTCCATTATTATATTATTTCTTCTTCTTCTTCTATATCTTAAGGGCCCACGATCAATTTATTGATCATTTTGGCTCCTATGCATGTAGATGGGATTTGCAATGTTTCTGTTCCTGGTGTTGATGAGGAAATTTCACAGATTTCCAGTGCCACTTTGTGAGGGAATCATGCACTGGGGGTTTGAAGGCTTGAGGCAATAGACACAAATGTGTCTAGTGTTGTCGCCTCAACCGTTCCTTTTGAAAGATTGTTCCAGTCCCTGATTGTCTTGGGCAGGAATGAGCAGCTCCTATACTGGCTTCTTGCTGGTATGAGCCTGAATTGCCTGTCATGGCCTCGTCGCTGTCTATGGGGGAGAGGTACGAGTTTCTGTTTAATACTGGAACAGTGGACCAGCCCATTATTTATCTTGTACATCATGGAGAGCCTGGATTGTCGTCGTCGTTTCTCCAATGGTGACCAGCCTAGTGTTTCTAGCATGCTGCCAACACTTGAGGTATTCCTGTAGCGGTTTAGGACAAAGCGTGCTGCTCGTCGCTGGACCGCCTCCAACCTGTCAATGCTCTTCTGGGTAAATGGGTCCCAGACTGAAGATGCATAATCTAAAATCGGACGGATAAAGGCTTTATATGCTCTTTCTTTCACACAGGAGTTGCCAATCTTTAGATTTCGCCTTAAGAACCCTAGGGTCTTGTTTGCTTGGTTACATACATTGTTAATATGTTCATCCCATCGGACCTCTCTTTGAATGGTAACACCCAGGTACTTTACGGAGGAAACTTGCTCAAGAATATGGCCGTGCAGTTTGTATTGGTAGTGTAGAGGAGTACAACTTCTAGAGATTGATAGTGTCTGGCACTTGGCAGGGTGAAATTCCATGTCCCAGCTCATCTCCCACTCAGCTAACAGATTGAGATCCTGTTGTAGCTGGTCCTGGTCAGATCTGTTGGCGATCGTCCTATACACTGCTGTGTCATCTGCAAACAGTCTTGCCTGTGATGTCAGTTTCTCCGGTAGGTCATTAATGTATGCTAGGAACAAACAGGGGCCCAGGACTGATCCCTGGGGGACCCCTGACTTCACATTTCAAATTAATTAGCTGAGAAATGGATTGGCAGTTGTAAGATTTTCCTAGCTCTTCAGACCTGCTTGTACCGTACCTTTCAATATTTTACATTGTCATCTCTCAATTATAATTATAAAAAAATCATGATTTTCCGTGTACCGGTAGTCTTTCTGACAATGTCTGCTTTTATATACAAATTTTATATTACTACATAAATCCAATAATTTTTAACATTTTTTTTTTAAAAATTGTAAATAAGATTTTACTATCCACAGTTCCTTCGTATAGCACGGCCAAACATTATTTTTACTGGTCACTGGCATTGGGTAAGTTAAAATTAAAGTCATATTTAAAAAAAATATTGGTAACTCAATTTTATTTTAACAATTTTTAATTTATTCACCGTCATTAAAACTGAGTGATTCTTTTTGTTACAATTATATACTTTTTTTTTAACTTGATTTTATCTTAAGCACTGCAAATGCCCATAGAATATTCATCTATGTTTATGTCTTACATTTATTTACAGTCACAAATGTTCACCTGTGACACTTGTTTGGCTGATGATGATGATTATAATAACTGGCCTTACCACGCCAGAGATATTTCAAAGATGGTTGATTTCATTGATGTGGAATTCAACAGTGAGATAGCTCTCAGTGAGATCATGGTGCCCACCTGTAGCTACAGAATGGGAGTTCCAAACATGGGCTATGGAGTTGCTGTCATAAGTGAGTTATGGCTTATTTAAGTTATTTAACCGGTCCTTATGAAATGCACAGCTTTTCAGATCTAAACATACCTATGCTTGAACTTAAAGGTATGTTGACACTGTGGATTCATTGCAACCACAAATCTCAGTGGTGAATCCTTGTTGAGCATCTTCTGACAAAGATATCCCACAGGGTATTCACACTGAGCTGGCACAGCTATCCAGCAACCTGCAGCTGCATAAATTCAGCTTTTCACTTTTAAATATGATTTTACGAATAACCACCCATCCAGGGGGAAAACCATAAAATTTAAATTTTAAGTTAATTCCACTTAAAACAAGACAATGTGACACCACTGTTCTCTTGTCTTGCCCTCTCCAATAAAATCCAACTTAAATTTATTTCACAAATATTAATCTTCTGACTATAAAATATGCCTAGGGGTAGTGTAGGTAGGGCTATTGTTGTTCATCCTTCGCATGCGAAGATGACCAAGGCTTCGACTTGAGTAGTAGCCTTGACTTAAGATGTATTTTGTTTAAAGTGAGGGAGAGTTACTCAATTCATCAGCCTCACTCTCTCGTCCTTGCATATTTGTTCCATTGGCAAGATGACTGGAAAGAGACTAGGTGGGGCTACTATCCAATACGACTGATAATTAAAACGTGTTAACAAGCCCTTTCAGTTTATGAAAATGCATGCTTGATGATAAATATGACGGGATTGAGTCTGTATATTGCCAGCCAACAATATACTGCAAGTCTCAACAAACCCATGAAAATGAAACTGTTGCAGTGAGTAGCAAATGGCAACATAAATCTTAGAATCTCACTAATAAATCTTGTGTTTCAAAATTGATTCTTACAGATAAATCAGGACAAATGAAGTATACAGTGATGTGGCTTCCTGCCCGATACACCTTACTCTATATCTACATTGTAATGTTGGTGATTGTAACTTTCCTGCTATTGCTTGATTTCATCTGCTCACCATCCAGAAAAGATTTGTACAGATGACACCTGGATGGATAAATTTCAATGGACCAAAAATGGCTTCAATTTCTATAAATGATTTCATGAAATCTGTGATAGAGCAAAATACATTATAATTTGAATTTACACAAAAGATACCATGAAGACAGTGTTGAGAGAGAATTTTCATCGCTTATCCTGTTTAAATTGTAGGGTCTGGCTAAAGTGTTGCTCCCCTGTTTGAGTTGGTCCTTGGATTATATACATTTATTTGTTTCTTTGTTTTCAAAGATTGGGTGATCAATTGCCGCAGTTTTGTTTTTTTAACACAACTAGCCGGCTGCAAGACTATCAAATGGATAGAAAAATTAGATTACAAAAAAAGGGGATGCAATGAATTTTATTGGTGTAAATTTATTTGTTAACATTTATGTAGTCCCTCTTATCAGTAAATTTTTATTTCAATGAAATGTATACTGTTGACATTAGCTGATATTAAGTGGGGAGAGAGACTGCAAACGGGTTAGGTAGAAGGAAATACGTGACAACCTGAAGAAGGCTTCTTGTCGATGCGATTGTTGTGTCCTTTTTTTCCCAGGTTTTCCCATACCTTGTTTCACATATGACGTTAACTGCTGAGTTCCAGAACAAGACATCTTGTCAGCTAAAGTTTTAGCTTACTGTACTGATTACTGTATTGAAGGGCATTAAAAATTAAACACTTAACTTTCTAACTTCTTCACTTAATTGTTTTGTGTACCGGTACTCAGGTTTATGTATAATCCCAGATTAAAATTGTGTGGCATTGTCTGCTCTATACAAATCCTCACCATTGAAAGAATCTCATTCACTTTTTTGTTATTCTTTATTGGTTATAGTTTAAGATCTTTTTTTAATGTTAAGCTTGTTTTGACCAAAAATTTTGATGACCCTCATTTACCATTTTTATATAAACCGATGGGGGGAATGGTTGAGGAATTTAAAAAATTAATATGAAAAAAATTACATACTGGTATTTATTTTAAACTATACTCTATGCTGCAAGTAAGAAGTTGATTTTTTTGTCTATGTATAGGTAGTGAGTTAGATGATGACAATAATTTACATGTAGCATTTTTTTTTTTAAAATCACCTGTAATGTAAGTTCAGTTTAATTTTAATATGTAGGGTAATAATATCCGTGCATTTAAATTCTTTTAAATTGAGATAATTGAATATGCCTGTTTCTTATAAATTAAATAAATATCACATTCAAAATATTTTATATCAAGAAGTTCAAAATAATTTGTGATTCTTTTTCTGCTTTCAAAGCAACATGGCCTTACTTAAAGTACTTAAACTTTAAGTGTGCCCTGTTGAGGTGTCATCTTGATCAGGTGTCTCAAACTCAAATTATCAGGGGGCCACAGGAGGAAGAGTCTGGGCCGCATCAAGTATTCCACACAAAAGCGTTAACAAATTCAATAAAGTACAACAGTTAATGTTACAATTACAATCTGCTTAAACTTTATTAATAAAAACATTAAGGGTTCTCAAGAACTTGGTTTCACTTTCTTCCTCCTACTCCTTGTTGTCAGAGACCTGGCAGCGCTTCATCTTTACACAGCTGAGCATCATTTGGCTTGAGTGAGAAAGCAACTGAGACCCTCAGTATAGCTAGAAGATGCTCATCAGTAAGTTTGGCACAGAACATCTTGTTAAAGTTCATAGTGGAAAAGAGCTTTTCACACAGATAGGTACTCCCAAAAAAAAACATGATCCGCTTAAATAACATAGAAATCTCAGGGAAGGTGGAGGGCAATGCTGTCATAAATTGTCCATGCTTGTCTGTTTTCCATTCACCTCCCTGAGCTTAGCCTTAAGTTCAGAATTGTACTGAAGATCAATCAGCTCCTTTTGAAGTGCAAAAACAAGGGAGGGGGGCATCTTCCACATTTAATTAAGGAGAAAGGGTCAGCAAAAATTTGAAAAGTGGCTTTGTGTGTTTTGAAGTCTGCTAGCATTTGATACAATTTTTTTGCAATGGCTTCAGTATACTTACTACTGAAATGGTATGCCCGAGTCGAGGAGTACTTAAGATGTTGGGAAATGACAGAGATTTCTCTGAGAAGCATAACAAAAGTTTTTTGCAGAATGCCCAGACATTGTGAAATATGCAACACTGACAAGCTACCCCAGGTCGTGTTGCTTCTAGTTGAGTACATACAGCTCCTGTGTAATGGTCAACAAGAAAAGCCAAGTCCATGAGCCATTTGAGATCACTTAATACAAGAACAACCACCCCATCCTTTTCCATGAAGGCTTTCAATTTTCAAACATGCTCCAACAGTATTGGTACTAACAGTAGGCAGGAGCAGGCAATATTTATGATTTATTGATGCAGAAGGAAGGTGCTAATGTAGGGAGAATGAACTTTGATTTTTTAATCATAGAAAAGGTCTTTTTGAAATACCCTTACCCTATTTTGAAAGTGACCAAGGTGATAGGCTCTGAATTTCCCTCACTCATACTAGTCATACACACTAGCGGCAATTTTAATAGGGATTTTGTTATACTGTGTCAGATTGCTACGATTTACACAATTATGGCACTACCCACTGACTTAAGTGACTTTTTAAAATTTTCTCAAAACAGCAATTTGGTTAATATTTGTCTCGTAAAATGCAATAAAATAAAATATTTTAGTCTGATTTAGAACGTTTTTTACCATTATGATCAACGTCCCAATCTATACAAACAAAATAAAAATCAGAATTAGACTGGTCGGTGAGATATGACTGAAACCGTCGCAGGGGGTCACATTATAGATATGAGAATGGGGAAAACGCGCTTGCAGAATCAACACTAAACTTTGCTGTCGGTATCGGGCCGCAAATCGCCCGAGATTTTGAGACCCCTGATCTAGATGCTTACGGTTTTATTCTGGATGTCAGAATATGGTAAACTGTATCTAGATGTATGATAGTGATAGATTTAAATTTAACATGGCTTCAATTAAATCTTGGATGTTTGGCTTAGATTATAATGAATTATATTTGTACCAGTATAGGGATTAGGGTGTCATTGTTTTTGTTATTTATGTTATGGTATGTTAATTTTTCTTGATATCAATTTTATTACCGGTACCTAATTTTCACATTTTCATTGAAGATAATCCCCCTATTTGATCAAATGTTCGATTCTGCTTTACAATAATTTACATATGTATGTATAGGCTTAGCTTGAACAATAATTATTTTAATTATTATTATTTGATAACTAGCTATGGCAATGCAACCACGTTGTGCTAGTCTTGTAAAATACAGGATATGGTGCATAATCTATACTGGTACAGGTATTTACTATTAATGATTACTCCAGATGGTGTTCCATATATAAACCAATGCATAGGTGTATTGACTCTATATGCACTCTTCTGTGTGCATTTATTGAGTAATGACAGGAATTCAGCAAATGAGAGTGCATGTGGCAGGCAGACAAGTTCCACTCTGGAATAATATTATAAATTATAAGGTTGTTATAGTATTGTTACCTATAATTGGTGCATTTAGTGTTATGATATATATTCTTCTTTTGTCATTTGTATTCAAAATTAAGTTTGAAACAATTCCACTAAATATTCCATGATCCATGTCAATGTCATATTACTAATTACTGTATTAAAATTTAACAATTTAATGGCAGAGAGTATTGTCTTACAACAAGCACTTGTATTTGTAGGGGCTTAAACTTAAAAATATAAATCATGTACATGTGTTGGAGGGGACACATGGGAGTTTGCCCAGCTAGAAGTAGTGGAAAATTCTATTTTTTGTTGCATTTATTTTTAAGACTACATTTCCTACCCTACCAAAGGGAATGACATTCATAAAAATATTACAAATGTTAATAAACATAAATACATTATAATTATAAATTATACTGGTTTATTCTTTTTCTTAATACTAGTATTTTAAGAGATAGGTCATTAATAATAACTCTTATTTCAACCTATTCTTGTTATATTGTTATATAGGTGTATAGTAATATAATTATAATATAATGCTGGTACTGTAATAACATAAATGATTTGTTGGGAATGGTAAAATTGAATTGATTTTATTCATTGCATTTGGAATGAAACATTTGTTCCAGTTCCAGGCTTCTCAAAACGTTTGAAATTGAACCTTATTTTTCTAAAATTATTAATTATCTTACAATTCTAAAAATGGATTTCCCAAAAATGTTTTGTATTAGGCATAGCTCAAACAATATAAATACTTTGTTACCAGTTACCATTATTGTACTCTTAAACTTTAAGTGCCTTCAACTTCAAACTCTACTCTTGCTACATAATTTTCCAATATTGAAAACTTTATTTTGATATTCTGGCACTGGTAACTGATATTACAGTACCGGTACCATAACTCTCTTGTTCATAGTTTCATTAGGTCATTTGATGTTGAAGACCTGATACAGATAGGGTATATAATATATGTAACTTGTAAAGGTAATCATGCTCCTGTATCAGTTAACATCCAAAAATAAACATTCATTCATACAGTACCAGAAAACCACTATTTTTAACACCTTGCATCAGTCTTAATTCTAATAATAATATCCCCTTGTATCGTGTACTTTGCTTTCCATAACTTAATTTAAATGGTCACATGATTTGAATTTACAAAGTACATATATTTGGTTTAAGTTCGTTAGGGTAGCCATGCCTGTAATTTTAGGATCAGTCAGTTTTAGTGGAGGATGGTACTGCATTTTTTAAAATATTTATTATGTACAATCAATTTTCATACAAAGTACATCTGTACAAATACAAAGAATACAAGTACAAGAAAAAACTTGTTTGTTATAACATAAACTGTTTTACTGCTTGTAAAAACTATCTTAATGATTTAAAATGAAGAGAAAAAAAGTAAAATTAATTACAGAAATTAAAAATAGGAAAAAAAAATGGAGGCAATAACAGGCTAATCAGACTTTTATGTTCAATAATAAAATTGTTAATGAAAAATCTCTGATCCAGGTGGTCATACAGTAGCAATTTTGAACAGCATACAAAATAGGATTCTGCAACAGGAATTACAGGACCATTAATGGTGATTACTCTCTTAGTCAATTCACATTTGAATATTTCTATATCGCACATTTGAAATATTACAGTAAAATTACAGCTAAAATTTAGAAGATGGTAGACATTTCCTCAGACTGGAAAAATACAAAATATTTCAGCCAATTTAAACTGTATAGTAGTACTATTTCACATTCTAGGGAGTATTAATATACAAGCTTTTTAATTAACTGGATAATGTCATTATAAGTCTTGTAATGCTGTCTTATCAATGGCAAGTAGTAACCAATCACTTACTTTTTTTTAACACAATTCGTTGGAAACAGTATACAAACGAACGTACCATAGCCCACAACACACTAATTATAATCAAAGCAAATGGCCATTACAGGCAAAAGGGTTCTAGTTCTTGTCTGAACTATTAACGTTTATCCCCTAATAAGATCCCATTGATTTTAATCAAGATCTTATTCATGTCAAGTGCTCCACTACAATCACTCAGTGATATTGATTCTGGAATAATTAGGCACATAAATTGTTTAAAAACTAGAATTGTGTACTTAATTTTAAGTGTTCAGTTAGAATTTCAATACATGATTTTAATATACACCCAACACACTAAGAAGCAAATTATTTTCTGCACTTTTACTCTAACCTTGAAAGGAAAAACAGTCTCAGCATTAGCAGCTAACTCCAACTTAGGAACACTAACATTAAAACTGGTTTTAACAAGCTCACCTGTTGCACATTAACACATACAAGAACAAATGAGCCAAATCCAGATATCTCATGAAGATGACATTTATTAAAATGAAATTTAAAATGGTCCATCGTTCGTGTGGCAATATAAAAGAATTAAAAATCTACATACAAATGGCTGATGTACAACAATGTGGATGATAGAATTGGTACAAATTTCATATAAATGCAAGACGCTGACAACACCTAATTTAAAATGATCTCCAAAACCCCAAGTTATGCTGCCTTCTGTGAACCCTTCTTTCCTATCAGTGATTTGTGAATATGGGGAATGACACCTAGAGAATAGAAATAGACAATGGTAAGTACTAGCATAACATTTAATTAATGGGTACTGTGTAGTAGCAGAACTCGATAACATGAAGTCTTTTTTAATAAAAAGCATGTCTTTTTCGTAAGAGATTAAGTATTAGAATCAATTAATCCAATGTTATAACATACGGTTGATACAAAAATTGTAAAGAAAAAATCTTAAGATACATCAGGGTCCCAGAAGGTACTTCTGATATACTCTTGACAATAGCAAATCATGGCAGTCATAAAATAAGACCAAAACCAGTGACCCCATTTTGCACACAGCTTTATTGGGTTAATAACTCCTATGACCAGGTTATAAGCAGACCACCCCACTTAACCTGAAATATTACAAAAAGGTCGGCTAATGAACAAGTATGATATTCATAGGTTTTCGCACTCTAGCTTGGCATATGAACCATCAAGTAAAGTCTCTTTATAGTCACTGGTGCAAAAAATTAGGGTAGGTTGAAAAATTATGGTTTTAAAGTGTCAATCTCTATTTGAAAAATGCTAAATATTTTATTTAATATCATCCACAATAATTTAAAATTTAAGATAGCTAAACCAAAAATAACACTCAAAGCAGCTATTTAGATCTGATGAGGAAGTAACTATTTACATTATTGAATAATGAAAGGCCTGATGTCATATTAAAAAAACAGTTGCAAATCTATATTTAGAACAGTCAGCAAAGCTGTCATTTTGATAGGCTTGGTACAAGTCAAGGTCCTGTCTTGTGGGCTGGGTGCCGAAAATCGATTTTTTTGGCCATTGTTCGTTATTCCCCCCCCCCCCCCTACTTTTTTTTTTTTTTTAAACTTTTTTATTTTTTTTTTTATTTTTTTTTTAAATTCATTTTTTGTTGCATTTGTTCTTAATTCATTAACATTAAATAATATTTAGCAACTTAAAAAAATATTTTAAAAATATAAATCAATTTCAAAACTGAGTTGCTTCCCTTTTCTCAGGAAAATAAATTAAATCCGGAAGCAGCGCTGCCGGAGGGAATGAGTTAATCAGGCTATGTTTTTTGTTTTTTTTGACGGACATAGCGAGTACCTGACCATGTCTTTTATCCTTTGAAAAGTCTTGCACTTAAACTGAAGTCTGAATTTTTTTTTTATATAAATATTTTCTTTTAGGGGTCATCTTACCGGTACATGTTTCACGCTTTTCACTGCCTTGAGGTGTGTGTGTGAGAGTGTGTTATTTTAATGGGTTAATGAACAATAGGCGTTAGAAAGATTAAATATGGTGATTGTAACGAAAAGGTGAACTCACCACCGCCAGCAATGGTTGCTTTGATTAGAGAGTCCAACTCCTCATCTCCTCTGATAGCCAGTTGCAAATGACGAGGTGTAATACGTTTGACCTTCAAATCTTTACTAGCATTGCCTGCCAATTCAAGGACCTAAGAATCAAATTAATCATTTTTACTTTTCTGTAATACACTGGTACTAATTATGAATTACAATGGCTTTTTAAAGAACTAAATTTTAAAATGAACAACCTAACTAATGTAATTGACTAAGGATCTAAAGAAGTGTCTTGAAAGCATCCTCGAGGCAGACCTGTTTACCCTCAAACTCCTAAAATCATACATATCATCTCAAAATAGTACTATAAAGTATCTTAATAGTAAATAAATTAACATTCAGTATACATAGTGTATACAATAACTACTCGCATTGTCCAGTGGAATCGAGTTGAGCTGGAATAAAAAAAAGGGAACTGAACAGTAAAAAGTAGATGACTGGCGTTTTAACTGCGGTCACTTTATTATGCAGACGTGTGTCTGCTATAGATTTCAATATACGGTGAACGGTCAGCCATAAGAAACAATTATGTCATAGAACAGCGAAGCAAACACGAGGAGATGCCATTTATATAGTATGTACGAACAATTATAACACCCCCACCTGTTGCACATGTATTTATTTTGACAACCTCAAACAACCCCCCCCCCCCCCATCTTGCTTACGTTAAAATGAGCTCTTGAAAAGAAATATTAAAAATTCAATATCTTTAGATGTTTATGTTGTTACAGTAAAGAAAATGTGACACGGGTTATCACCGCTGCAATTCAGCAAGCCAAGAGGTTCCCAGAATATATACTGCATCGCCCTGGGTGCTCGCTGCTCTCGGGCAGGGCCACGAGAATGGGGCGAAGAGAAATAGGTGCCAAAATAGTTTTTAGAAAGGACCATGTTAGTGACTTAAACCATTTACTTCTCAAGAAAAAGGTCCCAATGAATTGTCCTTTTTACTGGTCCACGGGGGGGGGGGATTTTTATACATGGGTTGCTGCAACTTCCTCACAGGGGCGTAGCGAAATATAACTAAATTTTCATAATTTTAATCCCACCTCTAATCCAATGTCACAACTTTAGGTCGTGGTGCAAACAGTAACCCCACAGGGAGCCTGGTTAAAAGCCTAATTTGGCATAGGCGCCGGGGAAACTAAAAATTAAGAACCGCTGTACCCCAACAAAATATATGTCACATGCACGTTGATGAGACAGTGGAATAAAATCTCTACTACTGAGAACAGCTAGGGAGTTAATTTGTTAAAATACATAGCATCTTCACTTCCTACTTAACATCAGGTGATATTTTACAGCATTCGAGATATAAATGCTATTTTTGAACTTTCAGAGCTTCCGGATGAATATTGTAGAATACATGAATAACGCACATACTTTCTGCAGAGACCCCCTCCGCCAACTATTCTTATGACAATGTGGCGGTGTTTATTTTAGACTTAAATACTTAATCCCACCCTCATACAAAAATCTAAATCAACACCACTTCACTTCCTTGCTCTATAATAATAGATGATCCCCAACCAATCATCAGCCTATTTCTGGATCCATCCACTGCTGGATGTAGAATGCAAATTAAAACCAACAACTGAAAATATACTTTTTTACATTTATAATTATTTTTTTAACCTGAAAAAAAAACAGGAATTTTTTTTCAACCCGGTCTCTTAAAAATCGTAGTTCTGATGGGTGTCGGCATACAATCGTAAAAGATGTCAAAATCGTACATTGTAAGCCAAAATCTTAAGACCAAACAGGTCTGAAGAGGTTTAGATTATAATTTAGAAGAAAACCTACAAATTCAGCCGATTTCTAGGAAATTTAAAGCATGAAAATTAATTTAAATACCTCTTAAAAATCTAGAAGCAAGGACAAGAGCCTAAGAAATTTGTAGACTACCATATGTATATGAGAAGCGTTATACGCAGTCGGCTGCGCATAACCCTGAGAGTTATTCCCAACAGACTGCGTATAACTCTCAGGGTTATACGCAGTCGGCTGGGAATTTAGCCAAATAAGGTTTATTACCGCTAATTTGGCAATTAAAAAAAAAAGTATTATGCGTAATTTACCGTATTTAGCTGCATTATGGATTGTTTCGAACTATAACTTTTAATGTGTTTAACGTAAAATTTTATTTGAATTAATTTTAATTAATATTGAATGATAGTAATAGTATTAGTGCTATTAGTATTATTGCTTGTATCTTATATATTATCTTATCTCAAAGCACTCATGACGCCTTATGTACCCACTAGAGAGCTCCGCTCATTCAATAGTGGCAAAATATCGATACTGTGTATTCGCCTGGAGACTTACGGAAAGCGCACTTTTGCATTTGCCAGCCCAAAAATTTGGAACGCACTCCCATTCGCTCTCAGAAACAGCCAGACACTGGAGTCCTTTAATTAAAACCGATTTAAAAACATCTATTTCGCAAACACCTTCTGGGGTGATGCTATCTACCATCTTTTTCAGTTAATGTATATTGGCTTGTGTTGCTTATGGTTGAAAGGGGATGAAAGACTTTGACTGGGTATGCTCGTATGTAGCTTTATATTGTTGCGTCTGTTTTTAAATGTGGCAAATTTTAGATTGTTTTATTTCTCTTTTTAATATGGTTGACTTTGTACCACGCTTCAAGCTTTTGGGGATGAAGCGTGTTTTTCAAATAAACTTTATTATCATTATAATTACAAGTCTACGTCAAAGTCTAAATTTCTTGGAGTCTAAGCCTAAGAAGATGATTTTTTTAAGGCATTTCCATGGTTTAAGTCTAGTTCTGTATTCTGATTGATTAGGTTTTTATATCTTGCTATGACTATGTGGTTGGTTTTACTGACTGATTCAGGAAATACAATCTATTTTTTTTTAAATTATATCATTTATGATTTTTATTTTTTTGGTGACCTAATTTTTAAGTTTTCAGCTTCCATGCAAAACTATAACTGTGAAAGTATTACTTACATTGCCCCCTCTACAGAACCCCCTTGCAGTTATTTTTTACTGCTACTCACCACCCCTGATTATAATTACTGTACCAGAGAAACATGTTTTTATCTGCCACAAAATTAGTTAACAAAATATATATTAACAACACAAACATATATTATGATAATTATAAGTATAAGAATAACATTATCAACATTACATTGGTCAAGTTAATTCTTATGATGTTTAAACATTTTTTTAGCCAAAACAAAAGTAAAACAATAAGCCTAGCTGTTTTTGCTTTTGGTTCATTCTCGAGAACAAACATAGCAACTTAACAAGTGCTATGCATTCTTGACTGGCTTTTGGCTGGAATCAAACTCCAGACCACCAACTTGAGATTTGCTCAGTTTATACCCTTCGACCACCCAGTCACACTGATAACGAGGCACCTTTATCGATCGCTACTATAACACAGGAAGTATATAGACCTCATGTGACTTGCCGACTGCGTATAACCACTTCGTGCATAGATATATATATATAAATGAAGACCAAACAACAAGCATTTCTCACTCCTAATCCTATTCAAAGACATACAATTATCAATCCCTGTTTAGGAAAATCATGTTCCTTTGAAAGCAAACATTTGTGATATCAATGTCTTCGTATGGTATAAAAATAAAAACGGACATGGTTGTTTCTCATTAACCTTGAACATAACTATTAAGATTTTACTTTTTTTTTTCAACATATGAACTATGTTAAATTGAAAATAGTTTTTATTCACAAAACTGTACTTTGACATCTTTTCACAACCCCCAAAATACAGGATGTATCTAGTCCGAAGGCCTGTGTTACTAATCTAATTTACGGCAATGCTCATTTGATAGGAGTCGCCTGTGAAAAACTAGCCAGGGTCTTAAGAGTCATTTGCAGTAGGGTCATTTGAAGTATGGTGGAAGAAGTGATGGCACTGATAAATTCAGCAGATAATCAACATATACCACTTAATTGAGATAATCAGCCTTCTGAAAATGCTAATTAAACAATAAATGAACATCTATGTGTAATAAAATAACGAAGTGGTTATGCGCAGACGACTGCGTATAACCCTGAGAGTTATACGCAGTCGGCAAGTCACGTGAGGTCTATATACATCCTGTGTTACAGTATTGATTGATAAAGGTGCCTCCTAATCAGATTGACTGGGTGGTCGAATGGTCTAAACTGAGCATACCTCAAGTTGGTGGACTTGAGTTCAATTCCAGCCGAAGGTCAGCCATGAATACGTGTTAGTTGTTATGCTTTTTCTCGAGAATGGAGCAAAAACAGCTAGGCTTATTGTTTTATTTTTTTGTGGCTAAAACATGTTTAGAATTTAGATGGGAACATGATAAGAATTATTAACTTAACCAATGTAAGGTTAATACTGTTATTCTTATAATTATCATATGATATGTTTGTGTTCATATATATATTTTGTGCTGTTAACTAATTTTGTGGCAGATAAAAACATGTTTCTCTGGTACAGTAATTATAATCAGGGGTGGTAACAGAAAAAATAGCTGTAGGGGGTTCTGTAGAGAGGGCACTGTATGTAAGTAATACTTTCAAACAGTTATAGTTTTGCATGGAAGCTGAAAACTGTTACATTTATGTCACCAAAAAAAAAAAAAAATTATAAATTATATAATTTTTAAAAATTAATAGAATGTATTTCCTGAATTAAACCACATGATGGTCATCGCAACATATAAAAAACTAATCAACCAGAATACAGAACTAGACTTAAGACCATAGAAATGCCTTTTAAAAAATCATCTCAGGCTTAGACTCTAAGAAATGTAGACTTTGACTTAGATTTATAATTATAATATATAAGATTATACAAGCAATAATACTAATAATAGCTCTAATACTAATACTATTACTATCATTCAATATTAATTAAAATTAATTCAATTAAAATTTTACGTTAATTAAACACATTAAAAGTTATAGTTCAAAACAATCCATAATGCAGCTAATTATGCATAATACTTTTTTTTTTTTTTAAATTGCCAAACTAGCAGTAATAAACCTTATTTGGCTAAATTCCCAGCCGACTGCGTATAACCCTGAGAGTTATACGCAGTCGGCTGGGAATAACCCTCAGGGTTATGCGCAGTCGACTGCGAATAACGCTTCCCATAAAATAATGCACATTCTATGGGATTTCATACAATTTGCACCAAAAATGACAACTCTCTGAATATCAAGACCTACTACTTAAGTCTAAATGGCTAAAAAAAAAGTAGATTCTAGTCTAGCTTGATACAATAGGCAATATAACCAGGGCCATCCCTGGGGATATTTAAAAAGCCCAAGGTTGTGATGTGGTAACTTTTTTTCAATGTCAATATCAACTAGCTTTGAAAGAGTGTTGAGGGGCTGGGGAGAGACAAGATGCCTTGGCCTTGACAAATCAAGTAGAGTCTTTTGCTACAACCCTGATAAAGGACAGGCCTAAGCATACTTAATATGCTAGGCTAATTTTAGTCAGCTTAGCTTACTAATAGTTACAGGATGAAAGCATTTAAATTTGCATTTAATTTGTAGGCACTTTAACTGTAAGCCAAGAGCAAGCCCCATTTGCCTTTGCCAAAGACAATTCCTTGAATTTTTACAAAAATTAATCCAATCAATTAGCTTATTGAAAGTTAGACCTACAAGAAATGTAGTAAAAATAAACTTTGAATAGATTGACATGTCTTTTGTTATCAATGAATTCCCGCCTTTTCTCCCCAACGCCCTTACTATTAACTATTATTTTTAATTTTCCACTGATCTCTTGTTTTATGTCTTCGTTTTGAGGGCCCGCAGCAAAATAATTTAATTGCCATATTTGTTTTCAAATATCGAAATGATTGCATTTTCACTTTAATTTTTTTTTTAATTTGTAAATGATTAAATAATGTTAAATAACGTCAAAAACTAGGCCAGCTAACGATTATTTACTCTTTTGCTGGGCCGGTCACAATTCCGGAAGTGAGATTGTTTTGATTTTTCTTTCAACATAGCACTAATAATTTTTAGGTTTTTTGTTAACCATTAAATATATGCTTAAAATATATAAATAAATACGAACCTCGGCAGTCAAGTATTCCAAAATAGCAGCACTGTAAACTGCAGCGGTGGCACCAACACGTCCATGACTGGTTGTTCGCGTCTTTAAGTGACGATGGATACGACCGACGGGAAACTGAAAACAAGTTTCAATAAAATAATTAGTTACGATGACTAAAACAATACATAATGAGGATTTTTTGCTTGAAAACAACTTACTTAGAATGATGATTTTATTCGATTAAATTAATATATATACCTGAAGTCCTGCACGAGCCGAACGAGAGACTGCTTTAGCCTTCGCTTTTCCAGAATCCTTTCCAGCTTTTCCACCAGGCTGAAAAGAAATAGAAAAAACACGAAGAGATAAATATTGTTCAAATCTTACAATTTTAGCTCAAAAACATCAAATAATCACATTGTATAATTCCTGGTGTTCGATGATATATCCAGTATATGATATTGATGGATTTTCGTACCATCTTGATAGTGAAATTCTGTGTATAACTCGGTCAATGAATGTCGACAGGATCCCTCCAAGAAACTTAGCGTCGGTTTAAAATACCACGTGATCCCGTCAACCAATAGAATATCGGGATTTACCATAACATTACAACTTTCCGCGCTTTATTTCTTTTGTCAATGAAATCATAATAGAAGCTGTGTTCGTGAAAAATGAATAGTAACTGATTTGTTTTCATTAAGTATTTTCCCCCCGATTACGCACAAAGCATTTCTTAGGGAAACTTTATTGAGTGGGGGGCAAGTACTTTTAAAAGATTCTTCTGTACAGTTTACAATTTATGTGGCAACAAAGTTCACAAGGGAAGCCACAGCTTATTATTATTTTTTTTTTAATTGAGGACGAATTACGTATCTTGTGCCTGTGAACTGTGATAAAAGTTGTCAAACGGCCATCCATTCGAATGTTTGACCCCTCCCCCTACTGTCGGGCGGGTACTTTTTGGGACATCCCCCCAATGCGTACGTATGGGAAGCTTTCGGGACTCCCCCCTCCCCCACACACAACCATTCATACACAAAAACACACCAACGTTATCAAATACTTGGTACTTAATTGTGACGTCACAAACAAATTGTGTCATGAGTTTACCCCACCGACTTTCTGGCCAGCCCAGTGATTCTCATTATATACGCTGCGTCGCTCTGGGTGACACACTGCCCTCGGTCAAAGCCATGATAATGGGGCAAAGAGGACAGTCACACCGGGCACCAACATCATAGGCGCCAAAATCTTTAAATGAGACGTTATTAATGGTCAATTAAAAAATAAAATCACACATAAAAGACAAGGGACGCCAAAAATTGTGTTTTCACTGGTCTCCCCGGGGGGAGGGGGTGGGTCTAAACATTAAGTGTCACCATTTTCCGGCTTCGCCCCAGGTGCAATATTTCCTCGGCACCCTGTCCTGGGTTGCTTCGGTTTCCTTACAGGGGTGCCATGAAATATTACATTTTTTCATAATTTTATCTTCACTTTTAATGCAATGTGACACGTAGTTGTCCTTGCGCAAACAATTGAGAACCTACTGTTTGCAGTTAGCTACTGTTTTTTTTTTTTAAATTTTGTTTATGTATTGGTCATTTCGAATTGTAGGCCACTTGTCAGAATTTAACAAAACCTAAATTTTGCATAGGCGCCGGGAACCAAAAAAATTTGAGGAACCACTGACGTAACCGATACATCACGCGCACGGACATAAGGTGGACGAAATATTACTGTAATACTGCTACTACTGAGTACTTTATTGAGCTATATCTAGCAAGGTCATTTGCGAAAATGGGAAGATTACGACCATAATTCCTACAAAACATAACTTGATATTTTTACAGCATTCGAGGTGTAGATGGCCATTCTGTGTAATGTAGCCACAGGATTCGAATTGAATGTAGACAAAACTTAAATACCGGTAGTCTTTATTTTGCTTAATTTTATTTTTAAAAATATTTTCAGCACTTACTTTCTAAGCGTAATGAATTTTAAGAAATTTTAAAGCAGTCCTATTTTCTACGTTTTATTACGGTATTAAATTGTAATCTTTCAATTATCGACGAAAAAAAATTATTTACTTTTTTTCAACATCAAATGCTTACAAAATCCAGTTAAGTGACTTAACTCTTTACTTAGGCATACAACTAAAAATTAGATCTGAGCTCACCACCAACACATTCACTCAACGAAGCTGACAACCACAATAATTTAAGCGACCGTGTCAACCCGCTTCCTTCGACCCAGAATTCTTTTCCAACCGTTCACTAGGTAACACTGCACAAGGGAAAAAAAGTGTCATGTGTGTAAACAACAACAACAAAAAATACTTCCCACTCAAAAACTAGAAATGCGAGTAGAGAGAAAGTCTTTAATAAAAATTGTTCCTCACCAAAATAAGGTTGATAACCATTAGCCTACCTACGTCATATATAGATTGTGTACTTTCTGTATCATGCCCCCAACCGTGACTAATAATAATGAAACGCCTTATTAGGTTGGGACTCCTAAGTACACAGAGCAAGTTGTGGTGCCTAGATTTCTCATAATAATGACATTAGTTCTTAGCCTTTCTTTTGGTTTCATGTACCCCTTTCCCAATCAGATAAAGTCATGGACCCCTAACCCTTTAAAGAATAATTATTTTTTTTTAAATTGCATAAAACAAAAGCAATAAAAAAAATGCAGCTCACAAACCCTACTAGTACTAGACACCCTTTCACGAAGTACAGGGTCACCATTCTTTGGTGACTTTGCTAATTTCCCTTGCCCCCATTCCTTTGGAGTTTCTTGTTTATTCATATTGATATCAATCAATTCTTAAATTACAGTTGTTGACATTTCCATCTTTTGAAACACCTGATTTATCATTTTAATCAGCTAAAATAGTAAGCTACTCGTATTAATGAACTGCAATCACCTAAATGATTCAAATCCACTAGGGCTGTGACTATTCGCACCCGGGTCCCTTCAGAATAAATCCCATTTGGATGTCATTTGTGGTAGTTTATTTTAGTTAAACTGAAGAAGTAAGTTTACAAACATACAGTCCATTCAATTATCTTTCATTTGATACCTCATTTTGTCTTACAAACCCAAAAATAATATTTAAAATTATTTTTTTAATCCCAAGCTCTCCCTTCTGATACCCAGGTACAAACAGCCACTTCGATCCACTGAACACAGTGATGGCAATGCCGATGACAAAGGATCAATGTTTGCTGGAGCTGGCTAAATGTCTAATCTTCATCATAAAGTGTTGATAAACGGAAATAACTATGAATACCAAAACAAAATATTGATCATTATCCAATATCAATCTGGTGAATTCTTTAATAAAATAAACAAAATTACAGTAGCATAGTAGGAAACATGATAATTTAATTAGCTATTTTTTTACATCAATTTTTTAAATAATCTCCTAGTCCTGCAGATTTTTAAAAAACTAATTAAGAATAAAATAAAGTATATATTATGTGTATATCATTTCCTAGTAGGAGTTACTAATTCAGTGGTTCTCAACCTTCCTAACGCCGTGACCCTTTAATACATTTCCTCATGTTGTGGCGACCCCCAACCACAAAATTATTTTTGTTGCTACTTCATAACTGTAGAGTATATGTGTTTTCCGATAGTCTTAGCCGACCCCCTGGAAAAGGGTCATTTGATCCCCAAAGGGTTGTGACCCACAGCTTGAGAACCGCTGTACTAATTCAACTAAGACCTTACCAAAATGATTAAATGAATGTTAATTTTCCCACATTCAGAATAGCATAAAAATAAGTATTGAAATACTACAAAAACATGTTTTTAAAACATATTAAAAAACATTTGCTATTTTTCTGCTTTATAAATATACAGACTAATAATTTTAATTTCACTTTAACCCAAGAGAAACTGACAATAACCCCCCATATAAATGATCATTCTTCAACTAATGAACACATGAAAGAAACAATGCCATGGCTTACCATAGTTTTTATTTCACTTTGACACTACAACAACAGTATGCAAAAATCAAGCAATTTATTAAACGTGATAAGCAGATCTTTTTAGCAATGGCAGTTAGAAACAACAAAAATTTTTTTTTTTCTGACCATTGAGAACAGTAAATATACATGATAGCATCAATAAATTTGAGCACTGATTTTTAATGTGATACAAATATAACATGATAATATATTTTAGGATGATAAAAAATGTATTCTAAATTACAAAAATAAATACTGTTTCACCAAGTTGTAGCTGCGTATTCCTGAAGATGAAGAGCTCCTTTTGTTTTCCTAAGTGTTAACAAGCACTCTAAAGGGAGTCAGCAACCTTTTGGTAATGATGTGTAAAGTATGATTTCTTATTCATTCAGCCTGCCATAAACCTATAAGTCTAAGATGCATTCTTTAGTCATTTATTAATACTTTTTGGCTTCTTTATGCCATTGAAAATCGCTCTGTGTGCCAAGTCTGGCACACGTCCCTTTGGTTGCAGACCCCTGTTATAGTAGTTGAGATTTAGACAAAGTGAGTTGATTCTTATCTTTTGTGGTAATCAAAAATAGATATAGATTAAGTTAACATTTTTAAAAATTAGCTTTTTAAAATAAAATAGACATTTTAATCCATAAAATAGTTGAATATAAAAATAAAATAAAAAATAAATCCCTTTAATTGCGTTAAGTTTTCAGGTGGCACATAAAACATTTGTCATCATTTTTTTTGACATTAACCGTGAAGATAAGCTGCCAACAGCAAACAAAAAAAAAGTTTGCAAGTTTAAAATAAAAAAAAAATGTTCGTAACAAGAAAAGAGTATTATTTAAGATAAAAATAAACAATGATTTCATATAAAGGTAAATCCTGCATTTACATCACTCGCCTATTTGTTTCTTAGTATAGATCAAAAAGCAATGTTAACTTTATGCACTTAATTTCTTGGCAAAGGTGCTTAAAATGAACAATAAATGGGAAAATATAAAATATGTATTTATTTTATGGATCAAAAAGGTTTAAATAAATTATATCTAATAACTTGTCTTTGTTTTTATGTGCCATCTTAAATATATAGTGGATCAGCTAAGAGGTCATGAATATATCTGAGAAATGGTAATTAAAATAGATAACTGAAAAGTAATTAGACTGGAGCATCCCAAGACAGCTTATGCCTGTGTAATGCTTCACTGCTCATCTAAAAATAATTCACATAAGCCACACAATTTCATTGACAAGATCCATCAATTGCTCGTTTCGTTCCCACTTTTACATATAAAATACGATCAAATAATAGCTTTTTAGATGTCCCCAAAAATGTTAAAAAACACATGAATTAATTTATTAAATGTAATCACATAGTTTACCAAGCATCAGATTCTTCAAAGAGTTTCTCTTTCTCTTCCGTAACTGGATCCACTTCCTTTGAATGACCATCTGTTGTTAGAATAAATTAATTGCAATTCAAAATAAAATATAATCTGCTAGCTAACAAAGCCTGTATGATCTGTTGATTAAAAAATATATGTAAGAAACAAATTATGGTAGAGAAGTGTATAAATTCATACATTTATAATCTCTTTAATAACATAAAAATTGCTCAAATTATCAAAAAACTTTCCATTTAAATAGCTACATTTTTCTCTAATGCTATGTGAGGATCTATTATCAGAATTATGAATATTTTAACATACTTTTAACTTTAATATCCAATGGAACCAGCATGCCATTCTGCTTACTAATCTCAGTAATTGAAACAGGTGCAAAGCCATTGAAATTTTAATTTTTAGTATAATAAATCAAAATCTATTTAGTAAGTTTTCATTAAGTAGCTTCATTAATTAAAGTTAGAAATACAGTCGAACCCCCGGGGTTTGCCAAAAAGCGTCGTGATAACTGATGATCGAGATAACTGAAAACCAATATGACGGCAATATATTAACATGTGCTTGAAATTTCTTTCGTACACGATGTGCGTTTATAAATGAGAATGTACATGCATGTGTTTTTGGATTTTTTTTTTTTTGTTACACAACAGCGTTACCGTGATTTGTTTGATGAAGCGATCGGCATGCTTTAAAAATGTACACACATGTTTGCTAACAGCAAAAAGTGGACTAAAGGGGACAAGGGGGGAGGGGGTTTAGGACAAAGTGGATGTCCACATTGTAATTGTAGTGTTTTTTTGAGTGCAGCAGTTTTGCATAAATTTACTGCTAAAAACTTCTAGTTTAATGACAAAAGAGTTGGGATGCAAACCCAAACAAATCTTTCACAAACTGAGTGGTTAAATTTAGAAAAGATTTTTTCAATATTAATAATTGATACGCTTGAATATTATTTTAAAAATATGTTGTTAAAGTTTGATTTGTCAAATACAATAAAATCTCAAATAACAGTTTTGTTAAATTCTTAGAGTTTTTCCAGAAAATCTTTAATGATTTTTATTTTGTGTTGGGGTTAAAAATGACTGGAATATTTGAATTTGACTTTATTTTTTATTAAAAAATTAGATATAGGACAACAAATTATTTTCCTAAAAAATGTAAAAATATATTTAAATTTAAAAATACAATCTTAAATTATTAAAAAATTAGATATAGGACAACAAATTATTTTCCTAAAAAATGTAAAAATATATTTAAATTTAAAAATACAATCTTAATCTAAAAAACAAATTTCAGTTTATGCTGCATGTATTATCAAGGATGGTCGTGTGACCTATTCCGGACCAACATGCATATCAATAAGGAGTGGTAAACATGATTCCAGTACTGCTGCATCACATGTTGCAGATTTTGATGTACTTGTCTCTCTTGATATTTTCAAGAATGTGGCATGTACAAATGGTGGACTAGTAAAGCCTATAGTAATTATTACCGTTGACGGAGGCCCATACGAGAACCCACGTTATCCAAAAACATTGAATGCTGCGCATAAATTGTTTACCAAGCACAATCTTGATGCTTTCTTTATAGCGTGTAATGCTCCGGGTCACAGTGCCTACAATGCGGTGGAACGACGAATGGCCCCTTTGTCTCATGAACTGTCAGGCCTCATTCTTCCTCATGATCATTTTGGATCCCACTTGGACGCAAATGGTTAAACTATAGACCAAAACTTGGAAAAAGCAAACTTTAAAAAGGCAGGGGAAATACTCGCTGAAGTTAGGGGTCAGGCTGTCATTGATGGCTATACTATAATGTGCACGCACAGTATGTTGAACCAAGCAGCACAAGCACAAATCTTCCGTCTCCCTCCGTGAATTGGTGTTGGAATCATGTGCAACAGTCTCAACATTCTCTGCAGATCATCAAATGTAATAATGTAACATGCTGTGGAGCAAGACAAACCAACTGTAATGAACTATTTCCCAAACGCTTCATTCCAGCTCCGGTACCTTTTATTAGTCATGAAGCAGGTGTCATGGCTGCAGCTATTGGTAGTAGTAGTGGTACTTATGGATCACTGTTCCAGAGGCTTGCACTGATTGGTCTGGAGCCCGATCACAGTTACAGTAGCATGCCTTTTGATCTCTATTGTCCATCGGTGGCTGGGAGAATTTCCAAGAGAATATGTTTCTGCGGTAAATATTTCCCATCACAGGCGGCAATGAAAAAAGATAAGGTCGTCCATTGCAATATTCCTGCTAGTGAGCATATTATGGCAGACGAAGAGACTGCCACTCAAATTGAATTAGCAATTGAAGACTCAAGAACAAATGTTGTCATTATACGAAACATGTTTGAATGGCTGCAGTCCGAATTTTCCGTTGATTGAAGAATGGTGGATTATTTGTTTATTACATTTTTAATACAGTGATTCATTAAATCTTTTTGAACAGTTATTATTTCATTTAGAATTTTGCCTGCAAATAATTGGAATTTCTAAAAAAAATCTTTGTAAATACATACTCTTTATATTGTTGTACATTTTCCCAAAATATTCATTAATTTAAGTTCGGTAGGGGGGGGGGGGTGGGAGGGAGGTAAAAAAAATAGCAAAAAATTGGTGGACGTCTTTTATGGATGGCCCCCAAGGCATATGTGAGGTGCCACTTTTCCGGGTTATCCTGGAATTCTGGATTTGTGAGGCTAAATATTTTTCAGCTCCAAATACGCCAGTTTTTATTTCTCTTGCACCGGATTCGCCAGTTCAGTTTATTCAAATACGGATTCTGGGTTTTAAAAAAAAAACAATATATAAGAACCCGTGAAAGCCTATTAAGCGACAAACGGGTTTTCTATAAAAAGAACAGGTACCACGGTATCTCTTTTGTTTGCAAGGCTCTCGCTCCTTGCTGTGTCAAGTTAATTGCGCGGCCAACAATATGGTCATTTTATTTCCATTACTACAATTTGAAGTAGGCACGTTTCTGTTGTATATAATTATCAAAATATGGCGGTTGGTCATGGGGATCAAGATAACTGAGGTTAAGTGGCAAATTTGGCCGTCTTTTGTGCTCGAGATATCAGGGTTCGGCGACATAAAAGAATGGACATAACCGAGCAGAAAATGCTAAGACAAAGAGAGAATTTGGTGGTTCCACTTCCAAAAAGTCGACATAACAGGTTTGGCGAGTTAACCGAGGTCGAGATAAGTGGGTTCGACTGTAATCAAACAATTTTGACAGAACTATTGAGGGAGATTCTCTTCTAAATATAATGTGAAGCACAGGGACAGTTTATCCTTTTTTTAATTTTGTTTCATTCAACTACCTTTGCTGACAGGTCTGGGCGTTACTTTAAAAAATATATAATATCTTCAACTATTCTAATCTATAATAAACTAACTGACAGCAAAAGTTTAGGCAGACACTTCTGTTTTTGCCTCATCTCATTACAGCACAAACAAAAATAACCAACCAGCTTTGCCTGTAACTGTTACATAGCATCATACGAACTGTTATAGAAATGTTTATCTTTATTGTAAACACACCTGAGCAATATTAATAAAGAGGAACGGCACTAAAATTGTTCTAAAAATGTAATTTGTTTTTGTTAAAAAGGTAGCGGTAGAGAGGTTTTCGAAATAGTGTTTACTGCCTTTCAATATAGCAATTGTCCAGAAGCTTTGAACAACTTATGCATTATCTTGCCATGTTAATATAATGACAAGAATTACATACACAAGTTGGTCCCTTGTTGTAACATAAAGTTGATCCCTTGTTGTACTTCAAAAAACTTCCATCCGTTTTTTTAAATATTTGAATGTCATATCTTCTTGTCATTTAGCTTGTCTAATTATTTGTAAGCAAACACATGAAGTCTTATCTGTATTTAATTAAACATAAATTAATGTTTTCTGCATTTTACTTTTCCAACAGTTTTCCTACCAAAACATGTATGATGCTTGATGCAGATCATAGTGTAAATTTTATTTCTCCCCCCCCCCTTTTTTTTCCCCCTCTCAGGTTTTAAAAACTAAACCTTTAAATTGATAACTGGTCAACTAAATATATAACACAGTGTAGTGATTTACCTGAACAATGGCTGATGTTGTGATTACTCTCTGTGGTGTCATTTATATCAATTTTACCAGTACTGTGATCTAGACTTTCATCTTCTTCAGGTATGGGCTGAAATGATCTGCAAACAAACATTAAAAAACATTAACTAAAAATGCACAAAGGAATTAGTTACAGATTTCTACATCTTAAAAACTGAATTAATTTGTATTCATTATATTTTCATTGTTATACAAACAAGAAATGTTAATATTATAATTTACCCTGTATTCTATATAAAAAGTTTTATATTATATTTAAAATAATTTATTCATATATTTTCATTTTACAATATTATAAAGTTTGTATTTAGATAAATTATTTATTCATTTGGATTTATTTCCTGATCTACATGTCTTTAATTTGTGAGTGATTTATGACAATTCTACAGTTTTGTAAATGAAAAACTTACAATATTTAGATATTAAAAGTGTCAATCAAATTATTAACTCACTCATTTGGTAAAGAATGTCGCTTGACTTTTAGAGGAGGTACATCACCATCACTTTGTACAAATTTCCTCTTCCCTAGTGGAGTGATTGGTGAAGATACAGGTGTGCCTGCTGAGGCTGCAGTCCACCTTAAATTTTTGTTGCGGTGATGAAAGGCATAGGAAACAATGTGATAGGTGCCCATGTCTTGTGAAAGGGCTTTCATGGCTGGTAATGAAAAACAAAATAAATTTACATGAATAATAAATTTGTTTGAAAAATTTAAGTTAACTGTACAATACTTGGTTACTTAATTGAAAATTGTTTATCATGTGAAAATAGGCAATGAATTATGGTTCAAAATGATCAACAGAAATGAATGACATTTGGAAATAAAAATAGCTTCTAGTAGAGTTAAGTCTGTAAAAGTTGTTAACTAAAAAATTGTACTCATTACAATAATAAAAAATAACAAACCTATCTTTGCATTTTCCTTTTTGTATAGTGCTACATAACATGTTGTATCAGTTAGCCAAGAAATTTGAATGTTACCTGCAAAATGTATGATTAATTACATAGTCATATTGAAAGTATATGATATGGGTTCAGTACTGAAAATGATTACGAATTCATTTCCATTCATACAGACATTAAAATCCATTCAGTAAATTTCTTTAAAAACTAGAAGAAAATAATTATTAAAACGCAATAACAAAGGAAATAATTGTTTGCTAGCACTCAACACATAACACTTACCATATGGTTGAAAAAGACTTTGTAAGTCAGATATTCTCCATTCTTTTGGAAATGTTATGTGGAATACATGGTCTCTGCTTACTTCCACTAAAAAAGTTTTAAAATTTGTTTGATTTTAATTAAGTTGTTGCAAAAAAAATAAATAATTTTTTAAATAGATAGGACATGACAAACTTCCATTGGTCTGTATGGTAAAATGAATGATTTTGAGAAGTTAATCCATTTTTAACTGATTTTAAAAACTATCAATTAGTACTTAAATTTTATTTAGTTACCAACATCTTCAAAATTCCTTAATATAGCTCATATCAACTAGGCTACATTGAAATAAAAAATTAAAAAAAGATTTGATAAAATTGTAAAAGCAGCATGGTACCTGCTGGAAATTTTAATAACTGGAGATCTTGGTAATGTTTTAAATAAAGCAGTGTTTCCCAACATTTTTTTATCATATCCCAGTTATTTCTATATTTCTACTTCGTAAGCCACTAAAATGTGTATTTTTAATTCCCATAATTTCTCCTTTACCCATTTGCAGTGCCTTATGCTTTTACATTCTCAAATGTGCCTAGATGAATATAGCAGGAATATAAAACTCAAACTAGATTGTCTATTGTCCTGTACATGCCTGTATATTTAACGGAAATAGAATAAACGGCCTTGGACTGAGTAGGTGATGCTCAAAATAAAGATATGATGTCCCCACCTTCCTTTGTTGTGATATGATGGGAATATCCTAACGATAATATGCACCACTTCATTAGGTCTTAATTTCAAAAGGTCTCTTCTTGCTTGTATTTTTTCTTCTTCTTCTTCTATACTTTGAGGACTCACAATCAATGTATTGATAATTCTGGCTCCTATATTTCAGGGGTGTTCGCGATGTAACTGTGCATGGTTTTGAAGGGGATACTTCACTGGTTGCAAGGACTACTCAGCTATTGTATTATGAACTCGGGATTGGCAGACAGGAGGCAATAGACGCAAATGTGTCAAGTGTAGTCACCTCAACTGTTGCTTTTGGAAGCTTGTCCTAGTCCCGTATTGTCTTGGGCAGAAATGAGCAGTTCCTATGCTGAGTTCTTGTTTTTATGAACCGGAACTGCCTGTCATGGCCTCGTCACTGTCTAGGGGGAGAGAGACGAGTTTCTGTTTAATGCTGGAGCATTGGACCAGCCCATTTTTTATCTTGTACATCATGGAGAGCCTGGATAGTTGTTGTCGTTCCTCCAATGGTGACCAGCCCAGTGTTTCCAGCATGCTGCCAACACTTGATGTGTTACTGTAGCGGTTCAGGGCAAAGCGTGCTGCCCGTCGCTAGACCGCCTTCAACCTGTTGATGCTTTTCTGGGTGAATGTGTCCCAGAATAAAGATGCGTACTCTAAAAGCTGCTGGACAAAGGCTTTATAGGCTTTTTCTTATTGAATTATGTGGGAAAAAAATAACAAATACTGTAACTAGCTAGGTTTTCAATAATTTTTTTTGCAACCCTGTATTTTTGCTTTCTGTGCCCCGGGGAAATGCTGATATATAGCATTTATGTTTATCTCACAAAATGAGCAACTTACAGTCTGGTCCATCCAAATTTAAGTATGGAATATCAGCAATACGCATTAAGAACAATCTGAAAAGAAACATTAACATTTCAGAGTACTATTACCTGAATTAATATCAGTTCAGAATATGCATGAATGTTCTGATGTTATGGAATTTTTTAGCAGACCTTAAACTCTATCGATGACATTTGTGATGTAATGGAGCAATGTCATGAAATTATTTTCCAATAAAATAAATTGGTACATACAGAACTAACAGGGACTCCGAATCCAACTGTAACAAACATCCCTAAATTGATTATACTGCAAATTTGTAAGAATCACTATATTTAAAAAAGATGAAGACCTAAATTAAAACAATATTAAAAACATAAGTAAATTTAGAATTTACTTGATTTCAGATATTCATTCAGTAAATCCAGAACACGCTAAATTTATATATTTTAAGTAACATGCCATGTGATACTTACTTGTTGATAAAAGGTTGAATGAGTTGTGAGGATGGCAAGGTAAAATTTTCAGGAGTAGCCTGAAGCTTACCTTAAAGGTTCAGAAAAATTAAAATGATGATTATAAATTAAATAAGAGAATTACTAATTATAATGCTAAATTTTTTAAATAAATCAGCTATTTTAGTACTGAATCAAATCCCTTCTTTACAATTTTTTAAAAGAAACAAGTTTAAAACTTTAATATTTCACATAATGAAACTTATTAACTTAGCGATCACAAAAATAGTAAAATATACCATATGCTAATATGTTTAAACATACCTAGGTAATTTGCCATGGTAGCAAAACAGCAACCTGTAACAAAAGCATCATACCCAGCTTCATGAAATGCACCAGCTCCATCATCATAGCGAGTAAACCCATCAGCTGTAACTATAAAAATCAAGAGAGAATGATTTAGTATATTATTTAATTTCTAGACACCCAATAAGATCTAATTAAGAGGTCCTTTTTAAAAAGGGAAATCAAAAGGGTATATGCATATACCATGTTGATGTAATACAGTAAAAAGTAAATGATATTTTTTTAAATGTACGTACCAACCTTGGCGGGATGAAAGGGGGATGATTGCAAAGCCAATCTCAGTTCATCTAGTGCAGAATATTTTATGTATTCCTAGAAAAAAAAATATTTTAAGATTAATTTCAAAATAGCCTTATAGTTTACAAGTTGTTATATGAGCGTAGACAATTCAAATGTATGTGTAATGAGAATATAACCAATAATAATATACTTTTCAAGTCCTACAACAGAATGTATGAATACAAATAGATAGTAAAAAAAGACAATTTTTTTATACCTGAAAAGGCTGCGTGCTGGCCATAAGTTTTGTGTCTAATAACCTGGAATAACAGAAGATAGTTAACTTTGAAATAATTTACAATAATTAAAAGTTCAGTCATATTTGGAAACTTGAAACATAAAATATTAAACTGTAATGTTCTAATTTTCAACTGAGAAACAAAGTAATCATCTTTTAAATCATCAAACAAGGTATTGATATCTTTTATTTAGAAAAAAGTTGCCATACCTGGGAAAAACTGATTTGACTACTGTTTTAAAGTCTTCAAGGTCCTGGAATTCAAAGCAGAGAAACAAAAACATGAAATAGAATTTTTTTAAATTGTTCCTTTATGATAAGTTTAATTTAAATATTCAACTTCCCTATCTGTAAAGTATGTAAAGATAACATAATACCACATCAATGGAATTTTGAAAGTGGTGTTGAAAAAAAGAAACAAGATTTATAATATAAAGTTGAAAGTAAATTTATTTCATTTTACCTCAGCTATGAAAATAAAAAGACGGATAGTAAACTTACATCTGGAAGAGGGCACTGAAATTGGTTGATAGCATGAATAACATCAAGAAACATATTGTGGCCCACAACAAGCTTGCCCTAAAAAAAAGGAATTAACACTTAATAGCACTGGACTTCAATTAGATCCTCTGACTACAATTGATGTTTTAAATGTAAAAGGATATTTTAAAAGACTCACTGAATCTGCAATGGCCCTGATAACTTTAGAGAATCCAACTTGAATATCCAACTCCATCTAAATCAAGTTGAATAAAAAGTGATAGATTTAATAATCAACTTATCAAATATAGCCAATAAATTTTACCAAATATAACCCATGATTAAATATAATGTTTAATTACTACTTAATTACTACATTGATAAATGCATAATTGCATCAATTATAATTGAGCGAAAACCTTATATTTTTAGTTTTAAAAAACAGGCAACACTTAAGCATGTATTGCAATTCTAACACATGCCTCTAAATTAAAATTTACATTGTAGAGAAAATATGGATTAGTTGTTTTTTTGTGTAAATTAATTTTATTTTCTTAATTAAGGTATTTTGAAAGTCCTGCCTTTTCCAGTGCCTGTTTGTTCATTTGTTTCTTTTGTCTTTCCTCTTCATCTTTGGTTCTGTTTACCAACATATATCTCTCCTTTTTCTGACCAGTTTTTGTCTCAAGGTGGACAAGAGGGAATCTAATAATTTAAGAAGAAAATGGAAATCTATTACAGGTTGTATCTCAAAGACTAATTGAAATATATGATTATTTCAAGCCTAGGTGAACTGAATTATGGCATTTTTTAAAACCGTATGTCAACAGCATTATGATGATATTTTACAAAAAATCTTTATCAAAGAAAAACTGATTAGTACCCAACTTCATTATCTAACTTTTTTTTTTGTCAATGTGAGCTCTATAAAGAGAAATTTTTTTTTATTACCTTTCTTCAACTGTCTGGTAGATAAGCTTCCTTTGAAAAGCATTACACGGAGGAATGACGAGTGGCTCTGGATCTTCACCTTCCAAATATTCTTTTATCTTATCACTAGATGCAGATTAAATTAAGTATTAGAAGTACAGTTTTTTTAAATATATTCTTTAATAAATAAGTTTCTACAGTACAAAAAGTACCTTACAAATACAAAACTGCTACAACTTTAATAATCTAGATAGCCATGATTTGAGATGAGGAAACTCAAACAAAAAAAGTAATGTTGCTGAAAATGTATGTGTTTACATTATTCAAAAGAACACTACTTTGTTTATCATTCCAAGACATAACTCTATAAAGATATTATCAGTTACTTAGTAATAATTTCAAAACAATCCCCTTTCAAATAAAGTTGGATCTTAAAAATTCTAACCCCAAATTCAATAGGCTATTCCACAAAGAAAATCATCGAGGGTCACATACCATAAATTATTAAGAAAAGTTTTCTGGTCTTCAGGGACTGGAACTAGAATTTTCTTTGAACTGTTGCTGCCTTCAGAGTTACCACCTTTGTTTGCCTCCTCGTGCTTACGCTCAAGCTCAGCCCGGGCTTTTGATTCTTGGTCAGGTGTTAGATAAGGTATTCCTAAATAATACAATTTATATACCGGTACATTAAGCCAGTAAGCCTGTAACAAATAGGCATGTTTAATTTGTGCCCTGACATTTTATAAATAATTTCTGAAATCATAATAAAGTTAAGCTTAGACTAACAGAAATTGACTATAACAAATATGGTAAATAATAACCTTCTTTAAAAAGCTTGTTGAAGTCAAAGCCTTGGGATATGAGGAAATCAATGCTTGAGCTCTATAAAAAAAATGTTAAAAATTGACATAAAAATATTAAAGTCATGGAAGTTAATTATTTAAATGACAGACTACATTTTGCCTTAAAAATCTTTTTTTTTGTTTTACATACAAGCGGTATATTTGCAATGACAATAACATTAAAAAATAATAATAAACGTGATTTTAGCCTCACTGATCACCTTTATAACAGAGAAGGAAAAAGAAGTAGCTATTCTCCATTTAAGGAACTTATGTTTTCTAAAATTACCTGACAAAGAAATCTTCTATCAGGAGAGTGTCTGTCATGTGGTTTGGGAAATACATAAAAACTATAAGGTTTTGCTTCATACCTGCAAGGAAAGTCATATGAGAATAATAAAAATAATAAGCTTGATTCAATAAACTTGTATATAACAAAAAACTGTTAATTTTTTAAAAATACACTTTCTAGCTCACACCTGGATGTGGCAGCACACTAGCTGATAATGGTAATTCTGGGGTAAAATACCCACTGTTTGCATTTTAAAAAACTGCCCAAGGCCACTTAAGATAGGTAAGAATGCCTTTTTTAAAATACTTTATTACTCTGATATAACACATTAACCACTGCAGGGTTATGGTATGTGTGTGGTAAGCATTCAAATGTTGGCCCATTATCTCACTAATGGTCCAAAATAAAGTTAAAACTACATAAATCTTATTTGTTTAGTTAATTGGCTATTAGCCTGAATAAATCTAAATCACAGTTTTAGACACACACAAATTTTATTGTTTTAAAATTAGATAGAATGTGGGTATTGATATATTTGCTGAACTTAAAATTGTCTAGATTCACTCTAGGTATTGGTAACATTATCATTCAGATCCAGGGGCTATTTGGACATGTGCCCTTTGGCCTGTTGCCAGGGTGAAGAATTTAAATTCCAATCAGCTGTTTCAGGTAGGTAATTTAGGTGTAAGTCTAGCAGTACCAGGAATTGGAACGGGATATGTCTTACTGTCTCATTTGGGTATCTGTAGAGGGGGAACTTTGGTGTTTTATCTGATTTTATGAGGTTAATGTGGAAAATAAAATTTTATGTATCCTGTTCGCAAGAAAAGTATTATGACCTGTTCATCTCTTTGGAGGCAATTTATTGAGTCTTTGGGGTCGAGACCTTCCATTAACCACTCTTCTTTTTTCTTTAGCTCTGATAATCTGCGTCGCAGTGTTGAGTGATGTAGGTATGTTTGGCTGTATTGAGTGATGTAGATATGTTTGGCTGTGTTGAGTGATGTAGGTATGTTTGGTTGTTCATTGGATGCTCCCTGTCTAGCGTCTTTATCTGCTCTTTCATTTCCTGATATACTGTGGTGTCTTGATATCCATTGTAAGGTTAGCCTGACTGCATAGGTTTTGAGGAAAGTGTTTATTTTCAGAAATAGTGATTTCACTGTTGTAAGATCTTGATGCTCAGTTGTCTGAAGTATTCTTTGCAGTGGGAGAAGATAACGACATTTCTTTGTTTGCTGGGATAAAATGTGAAGATTGCAGAAAGGTCACTAATGAACATTAAGAATAGGGTACAACTCAGTGACAAACCATCTGGGACCCCTTCTTCAAGGACACACTTTGATGAGGTGGCTTTCTTATTTTTTTTGTGTGTGGATAGTACCATCAGTAAGAACGAACTTTAACCATTTGTACATATTGCCATGAATCCCTGAATTGTTTAGCCCCCAGAGAAGACCCTTCCGCCAGACTCGGCCATAGGCCTGCTATGAGGTCGACAAAGCCTTATGCCATCTGTTTTTTTGGTTCTGGTAGGGTACGTAGCTGAATCCATGTACTGGGATATGTACAACTGTTGGGGAAGCGATGCTGGTATTCTAACGGCTCCTAGCGGATGCCAGGGTGGCCTTGAAGCTGTCGATTGATATCGAGTCCATTGCAGCATTGTCCAGGTGGTTTCAAGTGATTATCGTGCATGGGAAAAATGATTCTTTTTAAATTTGACTGTGTTACACATAGGCACAGTGAAGCATTTACTATTGTTTCGGATGTAATTGCTTATGGGGTTGTTAGAGATGAAGTCAGTGTTTAGTGATCGTTTGGCTCTAATTAAGTGACCTGGGTTCTGTGGAGTGAGATACGTGTTTGCTGGGATGGCAGGCACTAGTCCCATGACTACTTTATATAGGAATGTTAGGCGGAACTTTTCTCGTCTGTCTTTGAGGGAGGGGATGTAAAATCTTTTTAGGAGGCCAGTGACAAAGCCAGGAGTAGCGGATTTTAAGTCACGTGCGATGAAGCGCACTGCATTACGTTGAATTCGCTCCATCTTGTCCACATCTTGCTTTAGGTAGGGTCCCAGATGATCGCACCATATTCTAGTAGTGGACAGATGAGTGCAAGATAGGCATTTCGTTTACAGGAGGTTGGGCAGTGGAGCAGATTTCTTCGAATGAAACCTAGTGTGGAGTTGGCTTTTTTTTAAATTTTGTTTATATGGGGTGACCATTTTAGGTTATTCGAGAAGAGAATTCCAAGGTATGGATTATTTGATACTTGTTGGAGAATTGTCTTGTTTAGGGAGTACATATAGGTTGATGTTTTTTTTCTTGAGAGGCTCATTATGTAGCTTTTGGTTTTGTTAGATTTCATGCCCTATGTGTCCACCCAATTCATAAGTTACTTCAAATCTGCTTGGAGGTGGTTGTGGTCATCATAGCCATTTATCTCTCTGTAGACAAGACAGTCATCTGCAAACAGCCTCACTTGAGATTTTACAGTATCAGGGAGGTCGTTTATGTGACAGAGAAAGAGAAGGGTGCCCAACACTGTGCCTTGCGGAACCCCTGAGTCTATTGAAGCTTTGCCTGATCAGACGCCATCTACCACTACTTGCATGCTCCATTGTGTTAGGACTGTTGAGAGCCTGGAGTGAAGGTTGCCAGTAATGCCATAGTGGAAGAGCTTGTGTAGAAGAAAGCTGTATGGAACAGTGTCAAAGGCCTTAGAGAAGTCAAGAATTGTCATGTCGACCTGGTTACCTTTGTCAAAGAAGGCAAGGAGGTCATTGGTGGTGATGATTAATTGAGTTTCTGTTGAGAGCCCAGAGCGGAAACCGTGGTTTAGGTTGGTCAAAATGTAGTGTTCAAGGTTGTTCATGATGTGGCGTTAGATGATATGTTCTAGAATTTTGCATGGGACGGAGGTCAGGGATATTGGGCGGTAGTTTGCTGGGTTATGGCGGTCACCTTTCTTGTAGGCACTATTGATATTTGCATCAAGCCAGTCTAGCGGGAGTTTGCCGGAGTCAAGCGAATTTTGGTTGGGGCAATGTTGTCAACCAGGCTCTTCAGGACAATTTTCTGGAAACCTTATAAGATCTTTTAGATCAGGTGGAAGAGTTTATCATCAGTAGGCTGTCAGTGAATATAAAATTGTCTAGAGTTGAACTTGGTATAACAATGCTAATAAGGAATGTGAGTTAGAGCATAAGAACATGTCCTTTGGCCAGTGATTCTACAATTGTTCAGTTTGTAACCATACTGGTACAATATGTTCTTCTACATGGTACCCAGAGATGAAAAAAAATTACAATCACAAAAATCAAGTCTGAATATAGAAATATGCATGTGACGGTACATACATTTTTAAGACCAATTTAAGAGGTTTGAGAACCTCTGCCTAAATCCATAAGCAAAAATATAAAATATTCCCCCCACATATGTCAGATGGTGCAAGTTGCTTTACTTACCTTTGCTTCTCAGCATCTGCTTTAAAAGCACATAATCCAAACTGTACAAGCAAGAACTCAGAAGCCCCCTTTATTTCATGGAAAAAAAAAAAAGACAATCGTCGCAATAAATCATAAGCCTCTATTGGATTACATGTGTTCACAAATCATCCTTTAATCAGATAATCATCACGCACTGCTCAATTTCGAAAAGGAATCTAAAGCTAAAAGATGGTGAGCAGAAGCCAGAGGTGGAGAGTCTGACTGCCTCTACCCCACATATAAAATGTTTCCTACTCTACATTTTCAAAAGTCTGTTCAAGACAGGTAAAAAACACTTCATAAAACTGCATTAAACTTTGTCATGGGGCAATCTTAAACAAAGATTTTGCTTGTATGTGAAGTGGCAGACTTAATTGGGTGCTTAGTCATTAAGATACCTGAATCTTTTTATCAGTACCTGATTTTTCAGGGTTTTCTTAGCCCATACTTGCCATAAGGAAATATGTTGACTTTTAAGAAAATGGGAATGGGTGCTTAATTGTTTATAGATTTGATTATATATTATTATATTATTTTATATACATTTATATATATATATATAAAATATATATATATATAAAATATATATATAAAATATATATATATATATATATCCAAGTATTATGTACACACACACATTTGAACCTTATGTAAATTTGAATGGTGGAACAAAGAAAAATAAAACCATTATTATCTAATAGTTCAGCTATTTTAATTCAGTTATGTAAGTTTATATTTATGTATGGCTAATCTTTTATGCTACGCCTACCATTCTTACATTTTTAATCTTGCTGTATCTTTCCATAGGGGTATCAAAAGGTGCAGGGTGTCCAGATTCTCCAGTGTCAAGACCTACAAGGAAAAAGTGTCATATGTCGTCAATAGATAAAATTATTGTGTATTTTCTCACCTAACATGTTTAAATTAAACATTTTCTCTGATTATCATATTTACCAAATGCACATGGTAAAATAGTTAAATATTTATCACAAACACTTTTTCTAATATGTCAGAGATATTAAATTGCACAAATTCATATATTCATACTCTTTAAAGTAAATAAAACAGGATTACAATTTACTAGTTACTATTATCTAGTATATTAATTTTTAGAACTATAATTTTTTTTTTACATTTTTCCCTTAGTTCTTGTAACAACAATTCAATTACAAATTTACCTGTGAATTCCCCATCTATTGCTAAGAAGCTGCTTTCATTTATTGCTTTGATGATGTTGTCCAGTTCTTCATAGAATGCTTTGAATAATAAAATTGTGTTTAATTACTATCAGAGCAGATATAAAAAAATAAATTCAAAAAAATAGGTATAGCCTATTTGATAATGTAATCTTTAAAATTCTTAAACTCTTAAATTTAAGGAATTTAAAGGGCTGAAAGATGAAAAGTCCCAATTAGAAAATAATAATTTACAAAAATACCAACTAATATTACATAATAACTTAGTACTGTCTCTTGATACACAAATATGTCATACATCAAAAGCTACTTCAGGGCTTACAGCACACTATGACTTTAGAGACTAATAAGTTTTTCAAAGACAGGATTTTAATTATTATGGCTGTGAATGTACACTTGTGAAAAGGCTAATAATGGCACTATGACTCCTAAGGCTTCTTAGATCTAATTCTTTAGTCACTTTACAGTAGCAGTTCTTTCACTTTTTCAGTCATATTTCAAGGAAGAAATTTTCTTTACATGAAAATTACAAATACTTTTTCCCCTTCAACTTTGATTTCAAACACATTTTTGCACAGAAACAGGGACAGGCTTATACCGGTACATCAAAGTTTTCTCATTACTTAAACACGATGTAGTAACAATTTCTCAGGGCTTCTGCCAACAATTAATACTAAGTGAGCTACTAGTTAGCACCAAGTCCGCTAGATGTCGTGTCTTATTACATTTTATGTAATTTTTAACACTTGTGATGCTCCTGCGAGGAAACCGTGGCTGCGTAGTTGAGAAGCTCTGATTTAATATAATGTAATCAAATTTATTGTGTAAGACTACTTTCATTGTCACTAACAGAATCAGTGCTCTCAGTTGGCTCAAAAGACTCATTTTCTTTTTGTGTGACTTCAACAAGGAACTGTTTCTCACATTTTACACAAATCCCACTCATTTGGAGTTAGAGTTTCCTCCATCTTTATCTAATCCTCCACATACAACATCTCCTGTATAATCTCTTGCTGTTGCTTGCAGGGTTTTCAGACATATAAATATCGTACTGGCCGCTCTTCTAGCATGGCAACCAAAATGCCAGCCCTGGGAAATGAGTAACCCTCCAAACCAACTACTATACTTAATATACTTATTGGTAATCTATCACTTGAGTGTTGGTTTTAAAAAAAATCATGTTGTTCCGGATTGAAGTGCTATTAAAACGGTTAAATTTTTTTATTGATAAGATAAAATTATTTTACTGATTCAAATAAATGGAAATATTTTTAAAAAAATTATTTTCTACATTTAAGGCCTAGTCATCTCAGCACATATATAAAAGACAACATTTTGAAAATAGAAAAATTTAATAATTTATCCAGTTAGGTACATTGAAAATCACTCGCCCATATGTTAGTCCCATATCAAAAAATGGCGCATAAACTTTTGTAGTAATTTGACATTCTGCTCAGTCATGACTTCGTTTTTTTTTTTGTTTTAAGTCAAAGTTTTCTAATAATAAATTATTTTGTCATAAGTGACATAGAGTGAATATTTTTCCAAACACATCAATATTATTTTTACAGCATGGTATATTTTGTGAGTAGCTACATATTTATTCTTATATATCGGTACGTACTTAAATTATTTTTTAATGCAAACTCACAGAAAATAGTGCTTTAGCGAGCCAGTGCTTCATTTAATCACGAGCCAGTGCTTCATTTAATCACAACTTTATTTGGTTAATAATAGCTATGGATTTCACAGTGTAAATGAAAATGTCAGTTGTCACCAGTTATCTCCCCTTTTAAAAAATGAGCTGTCAGAAATGGCTCTCCTTATCAATTTAATATAAAGTTATACAAATATTTTCATTATTGTTCATCTTTAAAATTCCATGAAACACGAATCAGTGATTGAAGGAGAAACAGTTTTACAATATTATTAGAAATTAATACAACCTAAAACATTCCAGAGTTTTTATTAATTTTACTTTTAACTATTATATTGCATCGAGATTCGAGAATATCTCCTGAAAATCTGGTAGTATTATATATATTTTAAAATAAAAAGTTTTGGGCAAAACAAGGCAGATATTTGGAAAGTCTGTCACAAGTTTTTGCTGTTACATACAAAGATAAAAATGGGGGGTTTAAAAAATTCCCCAAAAAGAATCATAACTCCACTTCTATTTAAGCTAGAAAGATGAAATTGATGTTTTTATAAAGCTAATAGTTCTAGATAGCCCTTTAAAATAGTGTATCATTAATATTTATATATGGCAATAGGACAATATTTAAAATTTCTGTCAAAGTACCTAAAGCAAGTAAAAAATTTTTAACAATTTAACGTATGAAAGGAAAATAGAGTTTGAAGAAAATGATTACAGGACATGAACTCATGCAAATATGAAGGGAAAAGATCACAGCTTGGGTCAAATTATCTTTTCAGTTTGTGCTTTGCGTGCATCCACATTTTTTCAACTGTCTGTGCATGGACACCAGCATCATTTGGATTGACAAAATTTTGTTCATGAACAACGGAGTGTTCATAGATTTCGTATCTGATCTGGTTTATGTTTGCATAAGTTGGCATGGCATAAGGCATAACCCGCCCAAACGTTTGACACAATAAGTGAGCCTCGAAGGCTAAAAAGGATAAAACTCTCTTCTATGCACTCCTGTAAAGTGATCGCACTTCATTAGACTTCATTGAGAAAGCAGCACCCTTTCTCTCTTTCCTTCAATGCCACCAAAAACCCAGGGCCCTCTCCACTCACACCACTGTACTATTAAATGGACATCAATAAAAGAATGACCGTTAAAATAGCACTACAAACCGAAACTGTACAAATTTTTTCATAACCGACGCTGTAACTGCCTATTTAAGTTATTACGCTTAGTCTAATAATTAAATAATTAAAATACTTGACGGATTTGCCATCCAAATCCAATGATGAATTGTTTGAATGAATGAGTCAATGAGAAGCTATTACTATGAATATTTCATAAAATTAAAAATATAATATATTGATTAAATAGGCCTATGCCTATACTAATAACTAATAATAAATAAATTACTAATATTACTTTATTAGTATTATATAGTATGTACAATGTAGATAATTCGATGAAACAAGGGAGACTACTACTTTTTGTGTATCGGAAATAGAAATTGGCGCCGAAAAATCTGAGTTTTTAATTTTCCGATGTGTGTGTCTATTTATTATTAAATGAGTACTTTCGACATATATTTGAGTTCCGTTTCCGGCCGTATAGTTAGGTAGACATCTTGGCCTACATTTACATTGATTTGTTTTAATTTTTCAATCTACCTGTATTTTGAGATTCCCCTTTAAATGTGAGGCATCTTTCACTTTAAAATTTGTATATTTTATGTTTTCAATGTTTTTATTTCAAACAAGTAACATAAACATATATATACATAAATAAAAGTTCTCATTCAAGTGTTGACTTTCTGCTTGCGTCCGGAACACGGTTCATAAACACACACACTCTCTCCAGTCTCTCTGTGCATGCGCGCTGTTTCCCTGGTTGGCTATCGGTACGGGCCAGTCCGCTAGTCCACCATAACACCTCCCCGAACAATTACAAGTCCAGTAACAATGGTGCTCGACGTTGTCTTGAGATCGCCTGGGTATGACATAGTCTGAAGGTCCTGGATGTCGAGGGTTAATCTTCTTCTTAGGTGGACTTGGAGTTGCTGGATGTGTAGACGGTTGATGACTCAGGGCAGCCTGAGCTGTTGGATAAAGACTTCCTGTCATTATATCCAAACCTGGTTCTGTATCTTCTTCTGCTCCATACCTGGGGCGAAGTTGGTCTAAATGTCTCTTCCAAATGGGACCATTTGGATAAATCTTTACCTTGAAAAGACGTGGACCCATAACTTGGATGATTGTACCAGGAGCCCATCGTGGTTTAGAGTCTGTTGCTGTTCCATATACTCTGACGTAAGATGGATCTCCCCGGTTAAATGATCGAATAGGACTTCTGTTTGTTCCATTGCGGACAGCTATTTCTTTAAGATGTTGTCCCTGTGCTAGATGAGCAGGTGAGGGAACTAGAGTATCAATAAGTGTTCTTATTTGCCGACTGTTCAGCAGTTGGCTAGGTGATAATCCACCTGCGAATGGTGTCCTATGATACTGACGCAGAAAGCCTTGTAGAGATTCCTTTAAAGGTAATGAGGATTTCTTTAGTGAACTCTTGAAACTTTGAATCAGTCGTTCTCCAGCTCCATTCGTAGCAGGATAGTAGGGAGCGCCTGCAAGATGTACAATACCCCTCTCCTTACACCAACGCTGAAATTCTTCTGAGATGAAGCAAGTAGCATTGTCACTGACTATGGTGTGTGGATAGCCGAAATGAGCAAAATCTTCCTCCAGAAGATCAATGGTGGCTTTGGTCGATGTAGATGTTGTCCTGTGGATACACGGGTACTTTGAATAAGCATCTATCACCACCAGCCAATGTGATCCCTTAAAGTTAATGGCATGGTCGATATGCACTCGACTCCATGGTTTTTCTGACAGCATCCATGGGTGGATACTTGCTTTGTTTGGGTCTCTGGCGTGTTCTGCACATGCCTGGCATGTTCGACCTATCTCCATGATTTGAGTATCAAGTCCGGGCCAATATACAGATGATCTTGCTAACTGTTTCATCCGCTCGATTCCAAAATGTTCTGTAGGCAGGATTTGGAGAACTTGAGCTTGTAGTATTTTTGGTACCACAATTCTTGAACCATAAAATAGACAATTCGACTCCACGGAGAGTGAGTCTTGAATATTTTTAAAAGCTGCTATATTAGCTGCCTCCTTGTTCAAGTGTCCTTTGTTTGTAGAGGACGGCCAGCCCTCATGACAATATCTCATTACTGTAGACACAGAAGAATCTTTAAGTGACTCTTTAGTAAGGACTCCTGGGTCTGTTGGTCTGATCTGTAAACTGATTTGTTTGATCATGCATACAGAATCTATGTCTGCTTCACTTTCTTCACCATCAAATAGGTCATCAGGCCCTGAGGGTAGACGACTAAGAGCATCCGCATTGCAATGTTCAGTTGACTTACAGATTTGTTCACGAGCTTTAATCAATGAGTTTTGATTAGCAATGTGATTTGTCCTTGTTTGAAACATTGTGTCTATCGAAATCTTGAGGTTCTTTATTGCCGTTCTTCCCAACAAATTTAAGTTGTGGTTTTTCACTACTATAAATGACAGATTTGTAGTTATTTCCCCTGCTTCAGCCTTTATCTGCACACTTCCCAAAACATTAAGTAGGTCACCAGACGCTGACTCGTACTTAACAGACACTAGGCTCAAGGTTGGTTGTCCCAGCTTTTGCCAAACAGATTCAGACATAAAATTTTCTCTGGCTCCAGTGTCAATTTCAAATGCAAACCTCTTTCCTTCTAAAATGAGTTCTTGAATAATGGGCGGGATAGTTTTCATTTGGTTTTGCCTTCTTATTCTTTTTAGATGAATCGGTTTCTGTTTTGGAGCATTCTCTTTCTTATTTAGACAAACTCTTTCCAGATGTCCCATCTTGTGGCAAAAGCGGCAGATCACGTCTTTGTACCTGCAGACATTTCCTTTATGGCCTCTTACTCCACACCTGCCACAAGTTCCACTCGGAAAATCCTGTCTTTGAGATGGAGAAAATTTCTCTGCTGTCTGATGTTGCTTCTTTCTTTGTGTCTGAATTTTATTGATAGGCGTTTCTTCATGGACTGCTTCTTTAGCACATTTCGCTGCCTCCTCTGTTTCAACAGCTATTTCTACTGCCTTGTTGAATGACAGTTCAGTGTCCTTCATCCGAAACAAAATTTTCAATACAGCCTCGTTCTTTACAGAGCACATGAATCTTGTTCATAAAGCTTCATCTAGAGGATTTTTGATTTTACTAAACTCACAATTCGCTGCATCCTGTCTGATCCTACCTGCCAATTCTTTGATTATTTCCCCCGGTTTTCTACTAGAATCAGACCAAAATTTGAACCTTTCCCTGATTACAAATTTGGTGGGGTCAAATTGATCCATCATTATTCTATAAATTTCTTCTATATTCAAGTCATTTAAATTTTGTGGTGGTTCTTTTTGATGTACGATGGTTAATAACATTTTATGCAGCTCTGGCGTCTGGCTTGTTAAAAAAATGAGTGCCTGCCTTTCCTTTGGCACAGTATTTGCCAACACGAAGGTAACGTATCTAGCGTAGTAGTCTGTGAACGTTTCCTCGTTACTATTGAAATGTGTAAACTTCATATTAGTAGCCGTATTACCTGTTGCTAGTTTCAAAAGTAGCTCATTCTGCTGTATGAGCTTCTGGATAATGTCAGCTTGGGTCAGATTTGACTCCATTGTGTATTTACCTCCTCCATCCCGTAAACTCTCTCGTGTGTATCAAGCTATCACTCGGTTGTACTGAGTTTTGTATTGAGTTAATACTGACCATCATACTGTGTTGTTGATGCTGCTCGATACCACACTGTTATGTTTATACTGGCCACCATTTTGTTATGTTTTCAATGTTTTTATTTCAAACAAGTAACATAAACACATATATACATAAATACAAGTTCTCATTCAGGTGTTGACTTTCTGCTTGCCTCCGGAACACGGTTCATAAACACACACACTCTCTCCAGTCTCTCTGCGCATGCGCACTGTTTCCTTGGCTGGCTATCGGTACGGGCCAGTCCGCTAGTCCACCATAACAGTATAGAAGTTCAACTTTTATGTCTTTTAAAAAAAGTCTTATTCTGTATTATCTATCGATGTGTATTTGTGTCAATTCTCATTGAGTTAGGACATGTCGGTCACTTGTTATGCTCATTTGAGTAAACCCCTATATGGTAATGTAGCTGAGCCCAATTTCGATAAGGAAGTGGCCACACCCCCTTTCATTGACGGAAGACGCCGTTACTTTGGAAATATTCAATTATTTCCACTATTTACATCAAAATATTTGATAACTTATGTTTTAGAATGCACTTAAATGTTATTGAAAGAATAATGTTTGAATTTTAGGTTAAAAAACCCGGCAGAGTCCATATTATAAATGATAATAATTTGCCGTGTGCAAAATGTCATGGCGGCCATTCAGGGTGACTTGCATAATGGCTATTATTTACTACTATCTCAGAGTTTTCATTCATAAAAGTTTGCCGTGTGCAAAAACTATTAACGAGGTCAGGGAAAGCTTTAATTAATTATTCATGTACCAAAATTGAAAGTTCAATAGTTCCCAAATAGCATTTTAGTAATTAGGGCATGAGTTGCCTTATATAGACTATATTATATAGCATATATCGGTATAATTTATAATGGACGTCGTAGATTTGGTAAACAGAAAAGCAGTATATTAATACATTATATTAAATTTTCTGATATAAATTAAATAGTGCATAGTTAGATAAGCTACAATTTATTTATAATTGTAAACATTATTAACCCATTCAATACGTCACAATTTTTTTAAGGGAACGCAGTAAAATTTTGGAACTAAATTTCTATTTGACCTGATGATTTTAAACTGAAAAGCTCCGTTTTGCTATTTATCAAAATTATATCATGCTGCATATCCAAATGTAGGTAATTGAAAAAGGAATATGTTTCTAGTATAAAAAAAGTGATAAAGAAATACCCAAAGAAAATTTTTGGGGGTATTATTGCAGGTTTATGTAAAAAATTATTAATTTTTTTTTTTTATTTGCTTTACTCACCAGCTCAGAAATCAGGTAACAATAATCCAATCAAGTTCATTTTTTTTTAAAATGAGTCTTATGATACATCCAAAACAACTGGAAAGTTTCATTGCAGTAGCTCCATAAATTGTAAAGTTATGAATTTCTTTCCCAAGACACGTGTTAAAATTTTTTTCTTCAAAAATTCAACAATAAAAATAGTTATACTCAAGTATTTACACATATTTACTAAATATATACACAAATGAAGCTATTATTTTAAATGAAAGGCCTTGAAGGATGGAGATGGGGTTTGGCTTCACACCCAGTACAATAGAAATGTGTGCGTACTCGCTTTGTTGCAGTTGAGCAATATGCGCAAGATCGGTCCCTTTCATCATAATCAACAATGTGCTGTGCATCATTGGACTTTTCGAGGCATCTGGTCTCTGGACCCTTTCCTGGTGCTTTTAGTACTTGATTTAATGCTACTTCCTCAGTTAGCTGACGCATCAACATAAGTTTATACTGTTTTAGACTCATTTTTACTCTGTTTACATCTGCTGATTTGCAGAGTAAAAACAAAATGTATGAGTTCACCTGGGTAATTCTAACAGCTAGAAAAAAATCTTTTCCCACCATTTCAATGTTTTTCACTCATAAACACAGTAATATGTTACTTTTTGGTCTAGCTTATCGCAGCCATTCATTTTGTGATTATAAATGTCTATCATTTCCGGTTTATCCATTTTTTGTTTGTTTCTGTAACTTGTACCCTAGCATCTGTGGACACCAATATGACATTTTTTGTTTGCCTTTTTGTCCCTGAAAGCAACACAGAGCATGCTCTTGTTTTGGTTTATATACCACTTCATTTTTTTTGCTGTAAAGATAAAGATTTTATGTCGTGGAAATCCAATGCGGTTGATATTCAGTGTTCCTGTGTAGTATTGGTTTTTGGCAAGAAGGTAGACCAGGTAGTCAACAAGTTTTCTTGACGTATAATATCTGTCAACAAAAATTTTGTGTCCAGTACCCACATGCTGCAGTTAAGTATGAAAAACTTGCACAGCCTGTCCTCCATCTGTATCTGTTTCTGGGTTATAGGAGGTATTGCCCCCAAAATAGGTCAAAATATCAACAACATAACCTGTTGAGGAATCACACAGGCCAAATGTCTTTAGATATTTGCTAGGCTTAGTGGCATTATATTGTTTGAATTGCCATCTGCCCTTGAAGCCTATTACCATTTCATCTATGCTAAGTTCCTGAAAAGGGTAGAATGCATTTCTAAACTTATTCAAGAGTAAGTTCATAAATGGTTCAATTTTATCTTTCCCTTCGGAATTTTCATCGCCACAGTGTAGCATGGAGTGATAGATGTCCTGAAATCTCTGTCTGTTGAATACATGGTGTATCCATGGAATATAGGATTCAGCAGACATAGACCAATAATCAGAAATAGCTGGCCTTTTATACATCCCCATGTAGATGAGAACAGCAATAAATTTGTCTAGCTCCTGCCTTGATATGTCCACCCATCGACTAAAGACAGAGCGTCTAAGTGCAGGTGTGTTCATGTGAACTTTCTTTTTAGCATAGCATAGGCATTTATAGATTCAACAATGTAATCTTTAACATTATCATCAAATAGTTCATTGAAAAAGTTAATAGGTGTAGGGTTTACAATGTTTTGAAGTTTAGGGCAAACTCCAGGATTTCTAAGGGGATGAAATCGGAAATTGTTTTCAGTTTGTCCTGTTAGGACTTCGGACCACTCTGTCTCAGTAGGGAAATAATTTGAACAAGTAGATTGACTAGTTTTAGATGAAGATGAATTATGCTTTGAAGTTGAAGCCACAGAATTAGTAGAACTTGAACTAGGCCTAGTTGGTGTTGATTTTTTTTTTTTCCTTTTCCTTTTCCAATGGATAATTTTTGTCTCTTTGTAGGCGTAATATATTCCTCATCACTAGTTTCCTCAAATAATAAATTTTCGGAATCACTATCACTGTCGTCAGATTTATCGTCATTTGAACTTGAATCATCCAGGCAAATCAATTTACTTGCCTCATCGGCAGTCATAGATCGAAATCCTTATCGATTAGAACTAGCAGTGTTATTCGATGCAGCCATTACAATCAGACAATCAGCTGTTTTTTGTTTACAAATTTTTAAGTGAGAAAAACTAGCACAAAATACACAAAACGTGGGTTATTCGGTTTGAAATTCAACAAAAAGGAAGTGGAACTCTTCTGAATAAAAGTTTGATAAGCTATATAATAAAATAGTTGAATGGAAAAGTTGGAATACTAATAAAATGAAACAAACCAGTGGTGACGCAGAGAGTGGCTAAACGTACTCTGCCAAAATCGCGGTGACGCACAATGCCGCGAAACGTATTAAATGGGTTAAAGTTAAAATTATTTTAAATACAGCATTAGTTCTGAAAATAAAATTATCAATAAAACAAGAGCTCGTGACGCAAACTGCAGAATTGGGTGACAGAATGTGGGGATGTGGTCAATGTTAAAAAAGGACAAATTAAGTCAATTAAGTCAAACTTTAATTTTTTTAAATTCATAACTTTAAAACAACAGTGTCAACAGATAAAAATATGATTTTGGTGTTATAATTCTTTAAAAAATTAGCTCTATTCAACTATGCCATTGGTTTATTTTACAAAAAGTTTTAATTTTCTAATCAAAGTACCTAGTATCATGAAATAATGTATAATATAGTATAATATAGTATAATATAGAGTATAGTATAATGACAGTATAGTATAGTCAACTATAATATTATGTACATTATAATAGTATAATTATATATTAAAGAAATGTGTGGCCAAATCAGAATACATGATGAAAAAAATCTATTAGCACTTACTATGCCGCGTAATTTCCATGGTGCAGATGGCTTTTCTTTACTTATGGTTGTTTCACTTTCAATACATTCAGAGTTCAGAATAATATGAATTCAAATTTATAACCAATACACAACCCCTTTCCACTTTTGGTTCGCAGTTCGCTCGCACTGCCAGTAACTACCGGACAGGTATGTTGGAAGTAAAGTAATTTAAATTATGTTATAATATCATAAAATTAAAATGGCATTTTAAAAGTAACATATTAAGTAATTGATTATTTTTACAAGTTAAATCTACCCAATTATTATCAGTTAAGTATTTTTCTGCCCGTGCCAAGTTGATTTGCGTGCACAAAAACTAAACAGTAATAGCATAATTTATGACAATCTGGCACATTAAAAAAAATAATTGTGATTTACTCTCGTAGTTGTTCCGTCTATAAAAATAAAAGCGAAAGCGACTACTGTAACTTTTACCTAAATATGCTCTTACTAAATTCAAACTCACACTCACACAACTCATAAATAACTATTGCTACGATTATTCGAAGTTTTTTAGTCCATGTAAGGATCTTTAAAAAAGACTAATTATGAAACTGCATAAACACATGTAGGCACTATACTATCAATTTTTAAGCTATTACTATTTGTCTATTATCATTATATGTAAGCCCTACGTTGAACCCAACATCATCATCAGTGGACAGCGTCTCAACCCGGTGGATAAATTTACTTACTTGGGCAGCACCCTCTCCAGATCTGTCGTCATGGATGATGAAATGAATGACAGACTCGCAAAAGCTAGTGCCATATTTGGTAGGCTCCGCAGCACTGTTTGGGACAGGAGAGGTATCAGACGAGAAACGAAGATCAAAGTCTATAGTGCAGCAGTCCTCTCGACATTGCCATATGGATGTGAAACGTGGACAGTCTACTAGCGTCACACCAAGAAACTGGATCATTTTTACACAACCTGCCCCAGGAAACTCCTCGGCATCAGGTGGCAAGACAATGTTCCTGACACATAGGTCCTCGCTAGAGCGAACCTACCTAGTATCTTCACCACCCTGATGCAATCTCAACTCCGTTGGATGGGACACGTAGCCCGTATGGAATACCACCGGCTCCCAAAACAGATATTCTTCGGAGAACTCACGATAGGCAAGCGCTCCCAAGGAGGTCAAAAAAAAAAAAAAAAGAATGTTACAAAGACTCACTGAAAGCGGCACTAAAGGACTTCAGCATCAACCCTACTCAATGGGTGCAGACAGCCCAGGACAGAGCCAGGTGGAGAGCAGATGTCAAGAAGGGGGCTAAATCTAATGAAGCTAATAGGATAACCACAGCTCAGACACGCAGGCTAGCCCGGAAAAGCAACATTAGGTCACCGTATGCAGTAACTATCCCCTGCCTGCGGTGCCAGAGATTATTCCGAGCACAGATCTGTCTAGCAAGCAACCTACGAGCTCACCGTAACGCACCCTCCCCTTAACCAGATGACTCGATGGTCCTAGTCGATTTCGACGGACGAACAACAGCAACATATGTATTTTTACTATTTAACCCTTAATGTAACAAGTTGGTCAATGACCCAGAAGGGTTTTTTTTTTAAAATTATTCTTTAAACAAGTTTGTTCATGATTTTTTGTGTCCCCTCTACATGCATAGGAGCCAGAATGATCAATAAAGTGATCGTGGGCCCTTAATATATAGAAGTAGAAGAAGTCTCTCCCGGCTGTGGATTCAATCAGAACCACGCAGAAAGGAAATTCCAGAAATTGCGACACTTAATAGCATTCTTAAGATAAAATAGAGCGACCTTTTCCCAATCAAGGGAGGGATTAGTAAAACAGTGTATCTAAGGTTAAATATCACTATAAGATGTAGATACTTTTATCGTTCATTAACGTTTGATACTTTTGTTGAATTCGACAAGATAATACTTATATTGCTAATCTTATTATTTAGACATTAGAATTTAGTTGTTTTCCTTTTCATTGTAGGTATTTGGCATTAAGTATTACACACAATAATTAATTCATACTAAAGTGAGACCAGTTTAAGGATGATTAATATTCAGCTTTTTAGATGGGGTAAAGATAAATAAAAGATCAGTGGCATTGGTGATAACATAATGGCGGATATTGTCATGCTCCCTACAAAAAATTGAGAGTTCTAAAAAAAACCCAGGGGCCGAGTGGAAGGGAGGTGCTTGAAACGATGAGAATAGAATTTAATTAGTTAAGCACTCTAAGACATTCTTGAAAAATAATACTCTCTTACAGATTCTTTTCACAACCAACGTGGTTGAAGGATATTACATCAATTGAAATATAATAATTGTGGGGGAGGGGTGAATGGAGACTGAAAGATATAGGAATATTTAAGAGCGTCTTTGATTTAGGAAAGACTAACATCTTTGGCTGTTCTGTCTATTGAAAACGGTGTTGTCAGTAATAATAAATAATAATAAAGTTCATTTCAAAAACACGCTTCATCCCCAAAGGCTCGAAGCGCGGTACAAAGTAAAAAAAAACAACAAATCTATAGTTTACCACATTTAAAACAAACGCAACACGACAAAAACTAAGTACAAGCATACAATGGCAAAGTCTTTCTAGCCAAGATTATAGAGAAGGCTTCAGTGATTTTGTTATTACAAAAGCCAGAAAAAAAGCTTGTAAAATATTGTTTAGTTCCATTATTTAAATTATAAATTTAAAAATTGCATTGTTATAAAAGCATGGCTGAAAGTTTGAATATTTTTTTTAAATTTTAAACTTGATGTCAAACTAAGGCTACTATTTTAGACCTGTCTTCTCCATAAGCACCTATTTACCTATTAAAAGTTAATACCAGCCTAAAAATATGTATGAGGTAGGGGCACCAAAAATTAGCGCTGCCCGAGACGCAAAAATGTCTAAGGCTGGTTCTGTTTGATCTCAAGTAGTTTCATTGTTTTCAAAATATGACAAATTTATTATTCCCCCCTTATATTATTCGGTGATATTAATAGTCTTTTTGGTATGAAATACTTGCCTTGTTTTCTTTAGTATTTTAAAAATAAATGTAAAATAAATAATCTAAAATGTCACTATTATTTTTATTTGTATGAATCCCAACAACAAATAACAAGGTCCCAGACACTCTCACAAGCAGTTCTCCCCAGCATGCACACCTTCTCAATGCAGTCCCAGCTTCACAGGGTAGGTCATGTTACAAGACTGTCAGATGACAGTTTGCCCAATTGAAAATTTTATGGTGAACTTTAGCAGGGCAAGCGGGTTTGTGGGAGACAGAAGAAACTTTTTAGGAAAGTCACACTGAAAGCATCCTTGAAAGCATTTCCCATTGACAGTGCCGGGCCTAGAAAGCTTTCTGCCATTTCTTAATTATTGATGTCTATCGGGGGTTGGGCGAAAGAAACAATGCCAATACCTAAAGCTGGCGCTGAACATTAACACGGACACGTGGGAAAGGGTCCTCAAATGATCGAGACTCGTGGAGCTCCTCTTTACACAATGTCTCAATGCAAGATGAGGTTAACAGAACAGACCAGGCAGAGCACAAAACACAAACCAGAAAAGCCAGAGTTAGCTCTGTATCTGGAGTTGTCTCATCCATTCCTTGTACCTTCTGTACAAGAAAATTTCGTGCCAGAATCAGCTAAATCAGCCACCTGCCCACCCTCAGACAGATTCAATCCTAGCAACAACCCCATGTTTAAATCGGTCATGATCAATTTTCGATGGACGAACTCTACTTTAGTTGTATCTAATACAAATTTTGGTCAAATTGCATAAAATTTTCATATGGGCTGTACAAATAATTACCATGGCATTGTTAGGAAAAAGTAGTAAAGACTATCAAAAGCTTTTATTGGGTTAGAAGACGCATCACTACAATCAGAGTCGAAGTTAACAGCCTAAAAACAAAATACATGATTATGTTAAGAGAAAAGCAGATATATGAAACCATTAAAATTAGAAAGCAAACTTTTGAAAAAGTAAATCAGTTCGAATACCTATCCATCCCTCCATCCCTGTGGCACTACGCAGCCCATGTAGGGCTTTGGCCTGCCTCACTACTTAATTCCTTCCAACCAGACTTCACTAATGCTTTTCTTTCCATGCTTGGATTCCCAGTTGTGGTATATCTTTTTCCACATCATCCATACATCTATAATAATTAAAGGACTGCATTCAATCTCAGTAAATGAAATAGCAAAACGAGGTATGTGGAAGCTTGAGTTTAAGCACAGCACAATAAGATTAGAGCGTTTTGGCATAGAGCCTTCTTCAGCGCACATGACAAATAAAAATATCACAAGGAACAGAGCACAGTAAATAACTCAAGAAATATCTAAGCCTAGGTCTGCCTTTGAGCCGTTTTCCCCCAGGGGCTTTGGTGATGCACCCTCTTCACTCCTCTGTCATTTGGCATTCTCTCTAAGTGTCCTTCCCAGCGGAGCCTACCCTTTTTAATTTCTGCTACTATCTTAGGATCCTGATACAGACTTACAATTCATGGTTGGTTCGCGTATGGATGAAGAATACGAACTAACCAGGAATTGTATAGACTATATAAGGATCCCACGCTAGTAGCAGAATTTTTTTTTTTAAAAGGACAGGATACGCTGAGCAGAACACTTAGAAATAATGACATAGGAGTGAAGAGGATGCACCACCAAAGATGGAAAGATGATGTTGAAAATAAATATTTAAAATATATTTATGTATAATTTCACAAGAATTAACAATAATATTATTGCACGATGGGTTTTAAAATTTAGTTGATGTACTTCTCAATAAAATACGGCAACTGTGTGACAAGGGAAGTAATAAACCTAGTTGCTCTGTCCTATAGCATCAACTTTGTTTGACGGTGAACAGACAGCCCACTGTGCCTTTAAGCTGCCTCTTAACTTAAATCACTTCTTTGAGAATTCGTCGTGTAACATTTCGAAACAGAATAATACTGTTCAGGTACTTTGGTAGTACACGTTAATTGTTTGGGATGATTGCGCCATGGCTCACAATGACGGAATCGAAGCATTTGGAAATCAGGAGACGAAAGAGTCTTATGGTTGGGATTATATTCAAATGCTACTGGCCGTTGACTTCAGGCAGGCACTACCCGACTTTCTTCGAGAACGCGTGTTGATGAGTTCAAAGTCTGTCTTAAGTCACACCACCTATACACTAACAAGATGTGGGCTCATCACAAAAGCGATCTAAAGGCAGACTAGTTGTAAAAGTTCAATCTCCAAACAAATAGGATATTGAAATATAAAGGAGGAGGATGACAGTGTGCACACCCTACGGGTAATATCTGTGAATTCTCAAATATCTAAACAGTGAGTAAAAAGATAAACTCTGATTTGAGACATGTACACATGGATAATTTGATTAGGCTTAAGAAAATAGCTGTTCTTACACACAAAAACAACATGAGTGCAATCATGAATGCTTATTTATTGGATCACATTCCTGCTGATATGTTGAGAGTTTGAGTTAGACGACGTGGTTCACTACTAGTTAGAATTATATTTCACAATTTAAACCTACCAAGTAGGCCTATTCTACCACACACTCTGTCTGAAAGTTCGTACTCCAATCATGCTGCTGCGCAATCTGATACACCCCCCTGTACATTTTGTTCAGGTAATGCCATTGAAGCAACTATTTCTAAAGGCTACTGAGTGTGAGAAACATTTTTAATACCCAGAATTTCTATGATTCTCTTTATGTAACACTTTCAGTTTAAGTGAACAAAGTTTCCTGCCAAAGTCTGTTTAGCCATGGCAATTAAAAAAAAAAAAAAAACAACTCAAGGGCAGTCTTTTAAAGTGCTTGGGGTGCGTTTAATGAACGATTGAGTATCATCATTATTTTGTATGATAAAGATAGGAAGATATAATGGACGTTTTCAGTAGACGTCCTTCTGAGCTCAGGTGGTGCACGAGGGAAAATCTTTGCCCACTTTAAGGTTTGAGGACAAGCTCATCACATAATGGGAAGTGTGTTAGCGTCACTACAACAAAAATCACGAATTTTTACAAATATATATTTTTGTCAACGAGGAATAAGAGACAGAAAATCGATCTAACCTCTTTCCTGGCGTAAAGCCCTGTTTAGTCAGTCAACTTAAAAAAAATATTGCCTGATCACAAAGCATCCATAAAAGACTTTAAAAAAACAAAAACTAGTGGGGAAATATTCTTGAAGGACATGAGTTTTATGTTTTGATTCATGCCGACAAAAAACACTGGAGTTTGACATAGGGATAAGGATCGATAATATAATGCCTCAAAAAGTGATGTTGATTTTGTAACTGTGAGGCATGGGTTTGAAAAGCGGGACAGGTGAGACATTAGTTGAAGCGGGGTTACAACACTTTCCATCAGCATGATCCAATTCCAAAGCTACTATTAAAAAATAAATTTCCACTTCAGACATCTACTCTTGCCCAATCATTGAAAGTTAATGAAAGACAAGACCAAGAAAACTACATCACACTCAAACTTTTTTATTCCCTCAAAACATCTTAGCGAAGTACGGGCACGGGTATTTAGCTAGTTATACGCCAGTGCTCTGTTGATATATTATTATTTAACATCTTTCTTGGTATTTAATCATCCTCATTTCCTATTTAATACGATTTTAAAAAATTAAATTGGCAATTTATGATTTATTATTAAATTATAAACATATCTTCTTCTAAAAATGGCTTTAGTTTTAGACCAAAGAAAAATGCCTTTTAAGATAAGATAAGATTCTTTTATTGATCCAAATAAATGGAAATGTTGTTTGATTGCATTATACATTTTCAGCACAAAAATAAAACAATTTGAACACAAGACATTTATAATAAATTATTTCAAACAGCCATTCAGTGAGTTCTCTTAGCAAAATCGTGGACTTAGTTCTTATTCAGATGTGTGACTTCAGAGGAAGCACGCCGGTAAATTCGTACAGATTGGGGAACAAAAGAATTTTTAAATTTTTATATCAGTCAGTCCTCGCCCTGATGGAAAGAATTCGTCCCGAACGGCCCGATCCTAAGTATCTGTGACGAAGAGGGTGGGATGCATCATCTAAAATTTGTTTAGTTTTATAAAAACATCTTTCTTCAAATAGTTCTTCAATTGAATGATGTTTAGTTTGTGTTATATTCCTAGCTTTCTTGATTAGTTGGTTTATGATTTATGCGGTGATTAATATCAGACGTTGAATTCCCACACCAGCAGGTAATACTGAAATTAAAATTATTATCGCGCATTTTATTAAAATTTATGTTGGATGAAAGGTACTAATGATTTTCGTTTTGGTGGTTGTGGGGCTATTTCCAAAGAATAATACCAAATGTCAGATTAATAATAAGTCATTAAAATCTAGTTGTAAATATAAAACTGAAATTGTGCGGTGTTTAGTCAATCCTTCTATGGCGATGGCCGAATACCGAGTAGGCAACGGCCTCGCTTCAGTAACCGCCGCCGGATTGGTACTTTTCTCTTAGTTCTCTGTAGTAATATCAAACCGTTAAATCTAACGAAGTTCAAGTATCATACTATAGCGATACCATTTTAAAGGAAGGCTATTTTAGTAATTTATTCTTTGACATTGACCCATAATTTGATTGAAGACATTTTTTGTGTTGCCATTTTGAAATCATTTTCATTTTGGCATTTGGAATCATTGTTGAGTTTGAATCAATCAATAACGATTGCCATTCAATACATTTATATACATACATTTATTTAAGTTAAGCCTAAGCCCTAAGCTAATATTCTAACACCTAGGCTTAGAGGAGTATGGAGTGCCTAGACGAGGTCAGACTAGTTATACTAGCCCTATCTAAAGTTATGCTTTATTAAAATTTAAGCTAAATAAATTAGATAATTATTATTATTATTGAATTAGTATTTAGTACTATTATATTATATACTTCATTTACTAAGGCAACGGGCGGGCATTGGCCTGACACTAACATAATATGATATGTGTATAGTGTATATATATATAATTTATATTCATCACATTCACTAATTAAATTAATCATTAATGGTTGTGTTTATCATGATTTTTATATTTTGTTCAACAGAGGGGCACTACCACCTGCACTTGCAACCTGATGAGTTTTCAATTCCTGTCACCAGTGAAACATGAACTTCTGTATTTCTAATTCTGACATGCCTAGGCCTGGGGAAAAAACTGTAAAAACTCCTTGGAGATGTTAAGCAGCCACATATTATATTTTAACTGTTCATCTTAAGTTTTGCAAAAGTGTTATATTATATTGTCTTTGCCATATCATCATATGTAACATTACAGGCTTAAAGTGAGATTATCATACCTCAAATGCAACATGGTCGGTACACTCCTGCGCCGGATTTCTTCCCAGTCAGACTTCTCCAGGTAGTTAAATATTCAAACCTAGCTATTAAAGTTAAGATTTATCAAAGCAAGGAGTTAGAAAAGTTTGACTTCATGAGTTAAAAAGTTTGACTTCATGCAGTATATTTTTCAATTATCAATTCATGTATCAAAAACCAGAAGTTATAAGCATTATGACAATCCTTAACTTTGGATTTTTTCTTTTTCAGGTTGAAAAATAGACGGGCGCAACCAGGGGAACAATATCAACCCACTGATGTTGAGCATTTGGCAAACGTTATCTCTCATGGGGTGTGTTTTTGTCACTTATTAACAGAAAATTCACATTTGGATAGAGTAAATGTTTAACAAAATATTACTTGTCTATCACTTGAGATGTGAACATGTTTAATAATCACATCATATGATCACCAATAATTTAAATGGATTAACATTTAAATATGTTTAAAATAAAAATATCAATTATTTAAAGATATATTTAACTTTGTGCGCAAAACAAATTTTTTTTATTTAAAATTTTTTCAAGTAGTGAGGCTAGCACACTTTTCATAAACTTTTGAAAAATGCTTAAAATTTTTTTTGTGAGAAATAGCACTTCTAATCTATAAAATGCAAGAACAAAAGAGTTTTACTTTTGCCCTTCTTATTTGCTGGAATCGGCCATCACAATGTGATGATGGTGTGGACTTTGCAGGAAGAATTCCACAAGGCCTGGGATTATTCTAGGATTATAAGCTGGTTCCCAACAGCAAATCACCCCTCTCCACACACCTGGATAAGCCCTCTTCTTATAACTTATATTGGTTGTTATCTTAATGACATTCTTGCATTTCTTACACATAGTTTTAACATGTCAAAAGTGCAGTTTAATAGATTAAAAAAGTTAATTCTGAATTTAGTACAGTACTTTCAGTTCACTTGGTACAAGGTACCCAAGAAATTTTATTAATAAATGTGTATGTTTGCAAATTATTATATTCATATGTAATTTGTTTTCATACTTTTTCTTCTCTTACAAATTTGCTTAAGGTATGGATCTTGCCTAGTGTACTTGCCCTGGTCTTTATGGTTTGTGTGTCTGTCAATGGACTCCAGGTCACCACTACTATACTGTATGGATCAGCTCTGGTGCTGCTGTTTACCACTTCTACTATTTTCCATATACTTTCCTACACTGGGCAGTTCCCGTAAGTCATTAAAGTTTTCCCAATTGTATATATTCTTAAAAACCTTGTCATATGATAATTAAAATGAATTATAAGTCACTGCATTTGTTAATTAAGGATTTAAAATCAGTTTTCTAAATTAATATTTTTAAGCTTTATATTTCAGAAAATGGAGGAGAACTTTTCATATTGGAGATAGAGCAGTTATCTATATTTTTATAGCTTCTTCCTATACACCTTGGTATGTCTCTTTTGTAATCCATTTTGTGTCTTTCAAAGTTCTTTTTCTTATTATTTATTGCAAAGTCTAGAATTGTATTTAGAAATTCTGAGCTATTTTGAAAACTATAGTGAGGAGTATTGATGATGTCTATATATTTTTTGCTTTCACTTAAAAGATTTATGGAGATGTTTATACAATTTGTTAACTTCCTTTTCTTTTTTTCCTTTGTGATTTCTTTTGTCTTTTAATTGAGAGGATCAGATGGTTTATTTTGATTTGTGGTAAATTACAACTTCAAATTCTTTCTTAAGTGTTAAAAAATATTGCAATTGTTATCTCATATTTCTTTTTCCAGGCTGCTACTAAAAGAGTTTCATTCCTGGTCTGAGGAGTTCTTGTGTATGGTTTGGGTTATGGCCTTACTTGGCGTCACCTATGCATATTTGTATCATGAAAGGTTAGTCCTAAATAATGTGAATAGGCTAATAAGTTCATTGCTCACTTTTGTAGATAGTAATCAAGATTTGGTGAGAAATATGTCTATTTTCTTAACATTATTAGAACCAAGCATTATTGAATGATTTCCATTTATGCTGGCTAAATTAACGTTTCACCACTGTTAATTGTTGTTTTCTGGGGTTTTAATAAATTTTGCATCAGCATAACCAGCTTTCACTTGATAAAAGAAATAGCATTAATAATAATCAGACTTTTGCCTTCAACTTTTTTTTTTTTTTTTTTTTTTTAAATGAAAGTGTAAAATAAAATTAATTTGGTTCGAACTGTTGCTACACTAATTACAAAATTTAATAAACTGAAAATAACATTTTATAAGTTTTTTTGAAAATAAAAACTTAATATTTTGTCTTTAATTTTTTTTTTTTTTTTTTTTTTTTTAAATGAAAGTGTAAAATAAAATTAATTTGGTTCGAACTGTTGCTACACTAATTACAAAATTTAATAAACTGAAAATAACATTTTATAAGTTTCTTTGAAAATAAAAACTTAATCCTATGAGAAGATGAAATCATATTTATAGACTTTCACAATCACTCGAAACATGATAGTTATTTAAGGCATTTTTTCCTGTTTTAATCATGTTTTGGTCCTAAACTAAGATAAGATTTTGATCCAATGGAAATTTGTTTTTATTACATTGGGCATATTGTTTAATATATTGTCATGAAAGTCTTTGTATTTCCCTTTAAAAAAATTGGTCTGTGGCAAGGAGCTTGATGAATCGTGGTATAGTCAGAATATTAGGTTATAGGCGTAGGTTCTTGAGTTTCGTTGGCATTTTGAACAGTGTATGGATTTTTACTCGAACAGAGTTCTCAGGTTCTTAGCTTTTTTCCAAGATCATGGATAATCATAACATCTGTTGCCAACTTGTCTGTGATTGTTTTGACACTGCCATTTGTTTACAAGATGGGAGACATGCTGTTTCTAAAATGTGAATTTGATGCTATGATGTCCAAAAGTTCATATAAATGCTATTCCTCATGATAAAAATACAAGAATTTCAGTTCAAAGCAGATTTAACACATTACCCACTAATTTATTTTAAAAAAATTTGTTTATTAAAAAGCTCGAAAACTATTACAAAAGCTGAAAAAATAAGCACATGTGCATTCGAGTCACCTGCAGCAGAGTCCTTTTCTTTTATATCCATCACAAAAGCTATGTTTGTTAAAAGTTTCTTTGTTGTAAGAAAACATGAAAGTAGTTGTGATGTATGTGCTTTAACTTTTAATAATATACACATATGTAAAGCAAATTTCAATAATGCTTCTGCTTTATGATTAATCTTATCTATTTATGAATAATAAGTAATTATTCCACATTTAAAACAGGTACAAGTTCCTGGAGATCATCTTTTATTTAATTATTGGTGTTTGTCCAGCTATTTGTATCATGGACATGGTTAGTATAAAATCTCTCTATTTTTTTTTTTTTTATTTGCCACCTTCTGATTAAGGACAATATATTTTTTATATTCAAACTCATGGAGGGGAAAAAGTATTTTTAAAATTTTGCTAGTTTTCCATCTCAATGTTCCTGTGTTTGTTTGAAAAAGTTTTTTAAAGAACCATATACTTGAAATATTTATGTAATCTGTTGACTTTGTTAAACATTTTGGACCATAATTATTTAAATCTAACTATACTTTTATCTGACAATATTTGTTTAAAAAAAAGAATGAGGAAGATAATAAATTTATCAGCATTAATTATTAATTAAAAAAATTTCCTAGTATTTTTATACTAAATATATATATTATTATTATGTGTAGCTTATGTTTATTTCAGAAAGACATGTCAGGACTTGTGGAGCTGAGTATCGGTGGTGCCATGTATATCCTAGGCGTTGTATTTTTCAAAATGGATGGAGTCATTCCTTTTGCACATGCTATTTGGCATTGCTTTGTCTTTGTGGGGTCATTTTGTCATTTTATTGCTATATGTACCCACTTGTTAGGTGTCAACCTGCCAGGATTTTAAAATTGGTGCTTATCTAACCACTATGGTATAATTCATGACATAGATTTACAAACATATCTCTCACTCAATTTAATAATTTATTAAAAAATCAATGACAGTTTATTATCCAGTGTACAATACCATCTAGAAACAAATTTGTTTTAAGCTTGACATGAAACAAAAAAAGCTAGCTATAATCAAAATAATATTGTTATTGTTGGCAGCTTTTCTGTGCAGTTAGATTAAGAATAATTCAATCAGGAAAGTGGGACGGAAAAAAGAAAAGGTGTTGTTGTTGGAGTCTCATGCATTCATTCCAGATTGAACCCTAATCATGTGTATTTATTTATTTATTAAAATTTGCATGTTTAATTATTAAGCTATTATACAATTTAACATTCAATCAAATCAGTATTGCAAAAATATATATATTTTTTAAAATTGTTCTAAGTTCCTCAAAGTCTTACAAGTGGAGCTTTGAACCCAATTTATGTTCATTTTTTTAAAACATGTATTTTTATTATCCATATGCAACAAAAAATAAATGAATTAGAGCCATTTTGCAAAGCTGTAGGTAGTAATGACCTCCTCAAATGCATTTTTTGGGGTTAGGATTTAAAAGAAAACTGCTAATTTTTTAAAATAAATACATTATTCCCACAACTTTTTTTTTTTTTTTCTAGGTTAGAGGACAATAATAAAGTTGAACATTTTGGGTTATCAACATTGTGCAATACAATTACAATATTTGTTTCTGCCCTCCATCCTTACAATTTGAAACCATAACAAAGTAATAGAGAAAATATTCTCACTGGTACCTCAGATGATTTTTAAAAATAAATCTGATCTGTTGAATTTAAACTTAATTATAAATCAACCATATGCTCTTAAACACCAGGCCCTAAGATCAAGTCATTATTTTTTATCAGCAACCTATTATCTTTACTCATGACAAACTAACCTATAGCTCAATTATAAAGTTAGTGCCACTCCATGAATACTGTATGGTAATTAAATATTGGTTTCCATCTGATTGCAATGTGAAAGACATTTTATTAATCATAAATACTGTATGATACTTGAATATTGGTCATCATCCTTTATTGGGAGGAAATTTTCTGTCATATGTTACGGTCAAAGATATTTTATTAATCTGTGCCAAAATTTGTTTGCACTTGTAATAATATTTGTACCGGTACCTAACTGTCTAAATAATATAATTATACTTTATTATTATAATAAGTAAAAAATGAACAGTTATTAAACTAGCAATGAGCTTCCTGTGAAAATAATTCAGTTGTGCATGTAGACTTAATTCTTTTTGAAGTAAGAGCAAGAATTTAGTCACTTTTAGTGCAGTTCTCTTACTGCAATATTTTTTCATATCAATGTTCCATTTTTAGAGAACTAATTGAATGATATTTTTTCCCCATTTCTATCTGGGAACTAATTAAAAGGGTTTAACATAATGTCTCATTTTGTGAACAGAAATAAATTATAATGGCTGCATTTTAAAATTTTCAAAGCAGTGTAATGATTTTTGCTATAAATTTATAGTAATTAGGAATACTGGGAAACTGAGCGTTACCAAAATAATTTGTCAATTCTTCTTCTTCTTATATTTGAGATGCCCACGATCAATTTGTTGATCATTCTAGCTCCTGGTTTAAATTCAGAGTTTGCCTTCTCTTAGATGGGTTGCCGTCCAAGGCTAACGAGTCCCATCTACCCGGGGTGCTTGGGATGATTTGCTTTGGTGGAGATTGAACTCCAGACCACCAGCTGTTTGGTTGAGACCGTTTAGACCGCTCGGCCACCCAGTACCAGCATCAATTGATGCTCATGTCACAAATAATCTATCTCCTGAACTAGATCAATTATATTTATATCTGAAGTTGCCTGCTTTCAACACAGATTTCATTTTCTGTTTTATTTAGGTGTGCGCTTTGATTAACCCAGTGGGAAAAAATTGCCCAGAAAAACTTATAATAGTGATATATGCAACATCATAGCATTTTTAGCCATTTTTAAAATAAATTATTTAAAAATGATATATATCGGTAATAAAATATGTATAATATAAAAAGAAAATATTACAGGTAAATATTTTCTTCTACACATTGTTTTGAAGGTGTCTTGTAACAAAATACGACTACGTGCAACTATTTGAAAAAAAACTTTGTGTTCTAGCAATCTCTATTTTAAAAAAAAAAACAGTCAGTGTTAAATATTATAACAAGATAGCTTGTATTGGTCACAGTAAAAATCATCATGCTTTTTATTAAATAAAACATTTTTAAATCCATGTAGCATGAATTTTAAATTAGATTATACTCTACAGGGAATAAGTATGTTTTGCATCTTTAACTTTAAATCATATTTTCAAATTGACTAATCAAATGTCATTAATTATAACTTCTTTTATAACTCTAAATAATGTCGACCCTGTACATAATATTTTACCTACTTTTCCTTGCACATTTTGAACAAAAATTATTTGTCTTTTTGTAGTTTATTAGTGCTTTTAACAATCTTGTCAACTGAAGCAGACAATGGATTCCCCAAGCTGTGATGACTTTCCAAAAGGCACAAATGCTCAGTAGTTGAAATGAAAACTATGAGTTGTTAAGGCACATACTTTACCCTGAAAATGTCTAATACAAAGACTGTTTTTAAGGAAAACCGAGGGATAAATCAATTGAATTTGAACAAAGAAATATAAGAGTTGGTAGCATTAATAACTTATATATTATATGATCATGAATGTGATAAACATATGAGGGAGTAAGAGCTTTAAACATCTTTTACTATAGGTTATAAGTTATACAGTCCCACCATCAAAAAATTTTATTTACTTTACATTTGATTGTAAATATTCCAAAATATCTATAGAACATTACTTTGTATTTTATTTCTGGTATTATGAATTTAATGAACAGTTCAATTGGTCCTTCCAACTGGCTCACCATATTGTCAAAATTCAACTATTTTCATGGTCATACAAAAGCTGGTCATAAATGTTTTTTTGCCTTATCATGTACCAGCTCTGTATGTATTAACATTCACATTCAGTTGGTGCATGTTGTTCAGTTTACAATAAATTTGACCATGATTAATAAGCTTACAAGTTATCAAAGCCAAAGTATACAAATTTTGTGTTTATTTCACCTAGCACTTTGAGGAATAATATTTTTTTCCATGAGTTTGGATGTATTTAATGAAATACTTAATTAGACATTTCTCTGGCAGAAATATGGATAGATTATATAATAATAGTTCCACATTAAGCAAAGTTCATTTAGCGCTTGGTCTTTCAAAGAAATATGTTTAGCACAATAATGCAACTATTACAATACATGCAAACCTTACCCTTGACAACTCGCACAACCAAATAGTGGTGTTATTTGAAAGTCTCCTTATTTATAATATTTTACACGTAGCAATTTAATTTTCAGTTAATTTGGTGCCGCTTGAAGATTTTTTTAGTTTACTATTTATTTTTAAAATACTCATAAATGGTAAGTCTTCTGAGGAATCACTGAAATGTCAGCCTTTTTTTTAGAACTAGAACCAGTTTACATTGTATGTATCCACTGAGATTTAACTATCACATCTTTTTTTTTGATGTTGTAAGGACTGTTTTACCTCATGCATTGTGGTTTGTTACTATAATTGGTTGTGGTTATATTTACAGCAGAAAGTAAATTACCATGATATGCTGAAGGTGTTGAGATAAAGATTTATGATTTAAATTAGTAAAAAAAATATTAAAGAAAAAAACTACAGCAATTGGAAATACCAAGAGATCATTAAACCCTGATCAAGGCCATGCCAAGATCACACAGAGTTCTGTTCCGATTATCCTTTGAATTTACTCACCCTACCCTTCCAACCCCACATCACATTTCCCTGTTAGAAAAGGACTATTCAGATCCACTGTACCATCAAACCATTTCTATAGCCTACCATGGGAAAATTTGTATACTTGTTTTCTCTGATCATAAAATTGAGGACTTTGTGCACATTAAAAATTTTGCTTAAGACTTGTGTAAATGAATTATCATATTGCTATGTGATTTTTATGTTCTATCTATATCTGTGATACTGATATTACTTTGACACAGCTAATCCTAATGATCATATGATTTAGTGCTTTGGTATAAGGAAGTCTTTATCTCCCAAAGACCATTTGTATCTGATATCAATTTACAATATTTTTTTTAAAACAAAAGTTTGTTTATATCCATTCTCATCAAATTTTTTATACTTTTCTCCAATTGTTTTGAAGTTATATTTGCATGTGTACACCACCCTTTTCCAATGTTTTTGTTTTGGTTATGACAGTTCAATTCTTACAGATAAATTCTAGAGTTTTTATCTTCAGTATTGGAACCAGTAAGTATTGGTAACTAAATTCAGCTGATAAAGGTACCACAAAATCATTTGTTAAGAGAAAGGTATAACAAACTTCCAATTTTTTTTGTGTGTGCATTTATCATCATAGTTCTTTTTATTTTTTAAATACTTTGATCAATATTTTTTGATAGACACCTGTAAGATTGGGATCCTCCATGACAAAACGGTGAAAAATAAATGTTTGCAATTGGAATGACTTTTACAAACTATAAGTTGTTTTTTGGAGTCAAATAATTATAAAGGCAGTATTTTATCTTGATTATTACATAGCCTAATTAATATGGATTATTTCATTAAAGTAATAATCTGTGGTTTTAATTGGAATTTTATTTTGCAATACTGTGTCTATAGTTTTAACTGAAACATTAACATTTTAAGATAGTATTAATAATACCATTTTTTTACAGGCAGAAATCAGTATTACAAAAACTTGACATTTTGTTAAACTTGCTTTAAAGTTAAAGTGGAGGAAGTGAAGAAAATACAAAAACAATTCAGTCCATTTCAGTGTGCTGTGTGCTTTTACAATAGTTCATCTACTTACTAAACCTACTGCAACTTTTTAAAAACTTTTATTAGCAATTAGTCAGTGTTTTTATCTCTAATATAATTTATTGAAAGCATCCCATGTTATTTTGATGTGTTTTAGTCACTAACATCTTGTTTACACGGTAGAGCTCAAATGTGTGCCCAAATTAAACTCAATGCACATGCATAATTCGACTTCAGTTCAATTTGTTTTACTACACTGTTTTGTTCAACTTATACTTTTATCAAGAACCTGAATATGAAAAAAAAAATTTAGTAGATTTTAGTTTAGAATCCTCGAATTTTACCGTAACTAATTTTTTGTTGTTGAGAATAAGGACTCAAGTCCGTTTGAACGTACCAGTGAAAAAAAAGATATCACAGGCTCTTGGATTCCCCGGAAGTATTGAGTAACGTATTTAGCAAATAAACTTTTCTTTAAAAAATCCCTGATTCTCCACGTATCGTTTCTGACGCCCATTACATTCTTGCACAACAAACACTGGATATATCGATATGAGTTCTATGTATTATTTTAATATGCCCCTTCAAACCTGACAAATCAATGTATTTCACAATACAACTTGTAAACTTATCAACGTTCAACTTCACTATCTAGCTGAATTCCCACACACAGAAGAAGCTTTGCCTTGAAAATCACATAACCGCCATCTCTGTCCTCTATCATCCTTCCCCTCAGACCTAACTGATGCTTTCCCTTTCCATGCTTGGATTCCCAGCTGCTGTAGATCATTTTCCACACCATTCATCCTTCTAAACCTAGGTCTGCCTTTGACTTTGAGCCGTTTTCCTCTGGGGTTTTGCTGGCGAACCTTCTTAATTCCTCTGTCATTTGGCATTCTTTCTAGGCCTAGTTCACACCATCAAATTCCTTTCAAATTAGCCTCAAATTTCCATCAAATTTTTGTATGAACGCACTATTTTGTCTAATCTGAAATTCCATTGAATATTCTCCATAACATTGATTTTGCTTTTTGAGTTGTTTAATGTTACATGTATCAGTCTTGATAAATTGTTGAGTATGCCAAACTCATGCAGAGTCTCATATAAATATTTTCTTTCGATGCTATCGTAGACCATTTCATAGTCCACATAAAGTTGATGTACTGGAATATTGAATTCGTAACATTTCTCTAATAGGCATCTGATGATGAAAATATGATCAGTCGTTGACCTGTTTTGCCTGAATCCACATCAGTGTACGGTTGTAGCCTTTTAGCAATTAGTGTTC